GCTCTACATACACATAAACTTTTATTAAAATCGGAATTTTTGAGTTACATAAATTGATCAATCTGAATTGATAATCTGTAATATAATGTTTTAATGTATGTATGTATGAGCACATTTTCATACATACATACTGTACATACATATTGTAGATAGAAACTTCGAAAATAACAATATTTGCTTTTCTTTATTGATGTAAATTATCATGTAACGAATTTGACTATTACGTATGTACAAAAGTATGCATCGACAATTTTCAATTAAGCATTGATTAATATCAATTACAAGATATATAATGCAAATAGACAAAATTACGTCAGTAAGAAAATATGTGAGAGAAAAGGGAAGATAGATCATTGCTCGTGATTCGACTCAGATTCTTGCTTTGTATTTCTGACACTGTTGATATTAATTTATAATTATCATCCTAAATCCTATGATAATATGATTATCACAACATCTCTACTTCTTATTTTTATAAATTACACAATAGAATATTACACATGGACAAATTCAAAGTAATAAAAATAAAAGTAAAAAAAAAATAATAAAAATTTATTTGGAACAAGCTATTTAAACTTTCTTCAATATATCAATACTATAATTATTAAACCAATCAAATATATTTGTTTAAGATTATTTGTTTCTGCAATTATTAAAAATTTGCAAAATTAAAAATATACATAAAATATAATAAATATAACATTAATATTATATATCTTATTATAAATATTTTACAAATATCTTTTCCATAAGCCAAATGATCTCATTCTCTAAAGATTAAAATAATACTTTTTTCAAATTATTTCCACAATTTTTCTAAAATAAAATAAATACTTGAAAAAATACAACAAAATTTTCTATACTTAAATAAATACGTATTCATAATTTTCATAAAACACATTCTATTCCTAAACGGCAAATGAATATTTCAAAATGGCAAATGAAAAATCTTTCAATCAATAGCCGTGTACTCCAACGAAAATAAATAAATAAGATTCACGGATGCGCGAAGATCCCGACTATTGTTAACCGCTATTACCGCCTAATATTTGCATAATCAGATTATAACTGGCATCCATGCCTCGAATAAGCAATCAGAATACATTCCGATGAGGTGAATTTATGCGCTTACATGCATACGTATTAACTGTCCATGTATATTTCCGCCCATAGCAAATGGCGTGTGCTATTGAAGAAGAAAGGAGTCGTGGTCGTTACCATTTATCGGAAATATAAGTGATGGAATGACGTGGTCAACGTAGATGTATCTGTTTATACGTCGTTTAATAGAATTTCATGCGTTTCTGATTATAACATTATTGTTCGAAGAATAATTTATTACTGTAATTAATTAAATAAATGATTCGAAATCATTGAATAAAAATAGAGCATAATTGTCATTCGATATTCCATTAACGTTATAATGTAAACATTAAATTGATGATTTTTGTATAAATGATTTTGATGCAGAAGTTTATTAAGAATTTATATAAGAAGAAATATGAAAATTATTAATCGTTATGTTGAAATTATTTATTAATAGAGCATTGAATAGAAAATGACGTAAATTATGTGACGTTTTCGTGTCTTATATATTAATCAATTACGTTTGACATTTAATAATTTTCGATATTAATATGCGTAATTACATGTTGCATATAAATACTTTCATTATCGTTGTACACTTTATATATATTTTTCTGTGTACAGGATCTTGATCGTGCAACATGATTGATTATATCGAATGTTGTCTTTACACGTAATCTTTCTCTTGTTATAATAATAAAATTTTTTTGAAAAGAAATTATCGATACGATACAATTTCAAAAATTGTGATTCTTATATATTATTATCGTAACAATTAAATTCTTCCATAAGAGAAATTGTCGAGTTTTAAAAAATCAGTTTTATTACATAAAACATATTTCGCACTTTGAAAATATTTAAAAGTAATTAAAAATTAAAATCTATAATTTGCATTTTTAATATGAAGAGAAAAAATAAAAAATTTTAATCGAATTAGGATTTACCGATAAATAGATATGATACACGTAGTTAAAATTACATTTTTTTCATATGGGTTCAAATGCCATAGCAATTTTTTTACAATGAGTTAAAATTAAAGATACCTAGAGCATCCAAAAAGAAATCTCATCCAATGGGAAATCACTCGTCGTTGCATGAGAAAGTCGTGTTTCTGTGTATAGCCATTGAATGTCGAGGGACCTTGCTTTTATCTCATTCACAGTTAAATTTATCAAACCAGCAAAAAGAAAAACTTCGTTATGTGGAATAATTGCTCTAACGTTACGATTATACGTAGTTAAACCATATCGTCGTGTAATCGGTAGCCATTCACATTAAAATGCTGTTATAAAGTTTATCACAGTTTTAAAAAAAGATATGAATATAAAATTTATATGAATTACCTAAAATATATTGTATGAGAAATATTTTACAAAAGAAATTATGTATTTCGTAATTGCAATATTTGATATATATTTAAAAAATTATATGATAACATTTATTAACTTGAAAATAATAATAGGTAATACAACTGTACAATTTCAGAAATTAACTTAAATAATATTATACAATATTATAATTATAGAAATTTATTTTTTGTTAGAAATTTATAGTAATGATATCCTAATAAATATTATTTAAATAATATATTTTATTAAATACATATTTGAAAACTAAAGTAATTCAAATATATATTTTTTTAATTTATATCGAAATAAATACTATATATTAATAATGTACAGGGTTAATAAAACATAGATACACTAATCGACAATGAATATATTAAATATATAAAATGTATTAATAATAATAATATATGAATATATTAATTAATGTCTTAATTATTATATTAAATTAATAGTAATATAATAGCAATATAATAATAATAATTAATATTGTATATGAATATATTAATATGAATATATTAAAAAAAAACAACCACAAAAGATATTTGATTATCATCTCTTCTATTTTCAGAAAGAAAAATATTATTAAAAGTGAATTTTTTTATCTTATTTTCAAAACATTAAAAAATTAGAAATTATATATATTATTAATACATTTGAAATTAGCAGATAGATGCGAAAGTAGTTATTTCAAAGATCTTTAGAAAACATATATAATAAATGAATAATGAATAATAAATGATATCCTGAGTAAGTAATAGGTTAATGAGTCGTAAGCTTATGTAAAACTTTTTTATTATAAATAATTTAAATATTTATAATAATGTGTAATTTTATTTAAAACCTGTCGAATCGATCAAAACATATTACAATAAGTATGTTATTTCCAATTTCAATTTTATAGAAATATATATTCATATAAATCATCATATTTAACGAATATAAAATTCGAATATATATTTGAATTATAAATTCAAATATATGATAATAAATCATATATCCAAATATATTTCCTAAGGGAATTATCATCCTAAGGGAATTACAATATACATATACACATACATATACACACACATATACAAAATAAATTTTCTTATATTACGTAATCAATAACATTCTCCGCTTAATCCTAAATCATGTCACTTAGAGTTTATATATCTACGTGTCTACCTTTTTATTTCATTCATTTCATTTTATTTCTTTCTCATCTATTCTATTTTATTATTCTATTTTATTACTATCTTTACTACCATATAACTATATGACTATATATATTATATAATTTCAAAAGGATAAACTAACTTTGAAATCGCTATTTACTATTATTTGCAATTATGTAAAAAATTTTGTAATAAGAATCCTTATTTATTTACTATACCAACATATAAAGAAATAATTTATGATCTATTGTATCCAAACAATGTTATATTCATTCTATAACAATTTTTTGATATCTTTTTTCATTTTTTTATTTCATTTTTTAGACTTTCTATATAATATATTTCTAGAAATAGAATATTATATTTATCTAATTCTAAAATGAATTGAATTGAATTTTAAATTTTTCATTGTGAAAAAAATAGGATAACAAATTATTTGAAACGATATTATAGAAAAAAAATCATATCTCAAAAAAATACTTTAAACTTTATTACTAATTCAAATATTTAAATTATTGATACATATCAGCCTTTAATAAATCCAAAAAATCTAAATAAACAGATCTAAATATAAAAATCTAAATAATCCAAATAAGAGCAACGAATTTATTAGATTTAAAAATAATTATTTCCAATCTTATAGTGAATTTAAGCATAATTGAATGGATTCTTAATACAAAAATAAAATTAAAAACAACTTTTGACAGGAAAAATTATAATGATTGAAATTTGAATTGAAATACAATAGCTATTAAATATGATATTTATATTATTATTACTATAACTTTGGTTATTGTAATTTCAATCATTCAAGGGTTGTTTTAAATTTGCTCATATTCAGCAGATGTAAAAGAACTCTTTAAAGATAAATATTATTAAATAAATCACATTAGTTCACTCGTTACACATTTTAGTTACCAATCACCATAATATGCTTATACAAATAATATATAAATTGTAATTATACATTGACATGTCACATACACTGCCATGGATGTATACATATATACGAAATTAAAATCAATTTAAATTCAACTAATAATAGCAATCATCTTTTGCGAATATCTTGAAAACCAAACACAAGCGGCGATTATATACATACATATATAGAGAAAAATTATTCAAAATCTTGTTTTCCGTATAATATATTTAAAAATCATTGAAATCCATGAAAATTTCATAAAACATGTTTAGAAAAAAGCAGATGCTACTAATACACGATATTGGACCATGAAAAAACGAACAATGAGTCCGTTTCTACGAGTCCGTTTTATATATGAGAGATTAGATGCGGCCAAGGTCACATTTACTCCACAATTTTCCTCGTTGTTCGTAAGGAATTGGCAACGTAGCGATAGATCGTTGCAACCATAGTAGAATGCGCGCCTCAGTCGAAGCGCGGACGCTGTTCCGTGCTCTTCCTTTTTTCGTTTGTTTTCATTCGAATTTATTTCCATTTTTACAGGAAATCGGTTCATATTGAATCCTAGTGAATCCTTTTTCTTCAAACACTCAATTTAACGAGTCTACGATTTTCCGAGGTAAGCCGAATGATATATTTGCATCGTGAAAATGCAATGAGAAAAATGTTTCCTCATTTGTGAATTAAAATTAATGAAAAATATAGATTTTTTATTTTAAGATTTTATTGAGAGATGTTTATAAAATATTTATGAAAAATTATATTTTTATGAGCATACATAAAGCAATGAAATTTATAGATATAGAGGTATCTATATAGGTATGGGGTAAATATTATAATTATAATATTTTGAATATTTTTTTTGTTTTTATGTATATTATTGTATATTTATATATTAAGAATGTTTATATTTTTCAATATTTTTTTGTAAATTCTGAAATATATATATAATTTAATAATTATGTTTTTGGATTTATAATTGAATCAATTTTAAGATTTATAATAAAAATAGTTTATTGTTTTCTTATTATTTGTTTAGAAAAAATTTTTCATTTTTGTGCATTGAAAATAAAATGGAAAATTATTAGAATGAATCTCATTCATGAAATGTACTTAATAGATTTTAAAAAATAATACCGAAAAATCAATTATAAAATAAATTCCAAAAACTTTAACATGTTTAATATTATTTTTCATGTTTCAATCATTTTATTATTGATTATTTGATTTTTCTCGTCATTCATCAAAGTTTTCAAATCTATTTTAAAATTCAATGAAAACTTTTTCATTATATTTCAATATTTCTGTATATCAAAAGATAAAAATCTTTACTATAACTACACAAAATAAAATATGAATTTTTTTAGTTCATGAACATTGTGTTCAAGAAATTATACCGAATTGAATCACTAGCTGATTTAAACATGTTTACTATCTTACAAAAATTAATATTCTTTTTCATATTTTTATTAGTTATTTTTACATCATCGCTTATAATTTTTTCTTATACAAAATTAAGTTTCACAATATGTTCCATTTTTAATATTTTTTATACAAAAATTAAGTTCCACAATATACTCCATTTTTAATACATAAATGTGAGATTCGCGTGATACTCTAATGTATTTCGCATGAATGGAGAAAGTAGAGCATATCTGAAAGAATGCTAATGTGCATCATATACAAAGGGCGTAATGATATTATGATAAATAATCTCGCATAATTAATAGGATATTATTATTCATCAACTTGATATTATTCATCAACTCCCATGTTTTTCATTTCACCATAAATAAATAATGAATCATTAATAAAGGAATCTTCAACTTGCTTGATATGTCATAGTTTTTAACGATTTTTTTTTTCACGTTTCAATCGTTATTTGATTTTTTTCTTAAGTTGTTCTAAATAATTTTTTTAATTTAATTAAAAAATTTTATTTCCTTTTAATTTTTTACTTTTTCTTAAATTCATCGCAAATATGAATTATTAACATAGAAATTGTTAAAATATTTTCGTTCTATGATGGTTTTTTAATAATTTTATTACTTTTATATTTCAATCATTATAACTTTTCTTTTTTTTATTTTTAAACGTTATTGGATTTTTGTACTTTCTATAAGAAAAGAATTTAATATTTTTATTATTAATAATTGTATTAATAATAATTTTTATGTTTTTTTTAATTTTATTATTGATTATATATATATATATATATATATATATATAGATTATATATATATATAAATATGGATTATTAATGCAGGAATTGTTAATTTGTTTGAAACAATTTTTTTTCTTCTTTTTATTTTTTTAATATTATAACATATACTTAAAATTTTATATTTTTATTATTATATTTTATTGTTTTTATACTATATCTCTTTATAATTATCTTAAATAATATAATCTTAAATAATATAATTAAAGGAAAAATATAAATCATTCTGATAATGTTTATTTTGTCTAATTCATTGATCACTTTTTTAGATTTTAGAAATTTTTTTAATTAAATTGATATTAAATGATTTCAATATTTATTCTATTTAAAATACTTCTATAAAATCTATAATATTCAAACAAACGGTTCTATTTTTCTTCTTCTTCTTCTTCTTCTAGAATAAAATTTTTTTTAATTGTTGAAGCTTCATTTTCGAGTAAATCAAATTTAAAAATTTTTCAAATACAAGTATTCTTTATTGATACAAATGATACAAATAAATTATCGATGGATCTCTATACTTAAAAATAAGCGAAAAATGTAAGAATGAACTTTTATTGCTTAAATTCTTATTTTTGTGAAATTCGAGATTGAATATGTATAATCAAAATATAATTGACGAAATTTTCAAATTTAATTTTCTTGAAAATTAATTTTTATATGAAAAAAATTTATTATATATTTTTTGCTTATTTTCACATATATAAATACTCGATTGTATATATTTGCAAAATAGTCATTTTTATTTGTATTTGAAAATTTTTTCAAATCAAAAAATTTTATTTTATATTTTTATATTTTATATTATATTTTATTTTATATTTTTTATATTTTATATTTTCAATTTAATTTTTTGTGTGGAATCATATATATGTAGAATCATGAAACATATAACTATTCAAGCAATTATCATATACTTATATTTTTCTATTCAAATTAATAATTTGTTTTATTTCTTTACTTAATTTCTCTCGATTTTCCTCAAATCAAGTCATCGACATATTTATTCGATTTATTTCTATTTATAATAGAACATTTGTAAATTTAATAAATCGAATTTATAATAGAAAATTTGTAAATTTAATAAAGATAACTTCATTTCATTAAAAATTTATTTTTTTTTGTTTTCTAATTTTTTTCGAAAAACATATACTTAACAAATGTTAAGAAATAACTTAATCATTTGACAATTTATTTATATTTTCTATTTTTACTTAATCTCTATACAATATTCGAAAAGAAAAATTATTGCTTATTAATATATATTATTTTCTTATATTAATTTTAATTCTAACATCTCAGAATAAAAAGAATAAAATTATATTATATTTTTTAATTTTTGTAAATAAATGTATGTTATATTTACTTACAAAAGTATTATTAATATATATCACAATGATATATATTCTACAATAATCAAATTTGCAATTTTTAAAATACGTTCTAATAAATGTTTCTTCAAATAAACTTAATTCTATGAATTATTATTTTTCTCTATTTATTCATATATAAATCTATTCATGTAAATATTCATCAACAATCTTCACAGACGAATTTTATTTTCTTTACATTTATTATTTTTTTTTTCCTTTTTTTTTCGTTCCTAAAAATATATAACGCAAAGAATAAGTTCTTGTATACAGAATATATAAACATATATAAATTTCACATTAGCTAAAAAATGTAAAAGATTTAATTTGTTCAATTATTGATTATAGAAAAAATGGTTATTTTTATATTGTAATTTTTATATATTGTAATTTTTATTAGAATTCTAGTGAATTCTAAGTGAATTTCCAAATCATAAATTTGGAAAATGATTTTAATATGATAATATGTTTTTATAACGATTTGAATTATTCAAAATCAATTTTCTTTAAAATTATAATTTTTAAATTATTATATTTTTCTAAATACAATATGTATTACATAAAATTGAATTATTTGATTAGTTACAAAAAAAGAAAATCTTTTTATTTATAGAAACTGTACATTGTTTTCCCAATATTGAAATATTTGATAAAAATCTCTTTCGATGAATCTGAGCATTTTTTTTCTTTAAAAGACAAGTTTACCTTTATTGATAACTCTATTATCGATAACGGATCTGATATTAATTGTACAGACAAATTTTATTGACATCAATATACAATCTGTGATACGATTGAGTTGAAAAAAATGCAGAAATTAACGAAATTAATATATACGAGTATTTCATTTATTAATATAAAGTTATTAATCTCTAATCACATTACAAGATTATAAAAATCTTTATTTGCAATTTTATTTGCAAATCTTTATTTGTTATTGAAATTCTTATTCATAAAAATAGTATTATTATGATATTTCTATGTAAGATTTATAATACTATTATCTAAATATTATTTATATTTTTTTACAATTTATAGATTTTTTTCTTATTACATTATATAAAAAATAATTAAAGCTTTTAATCAAAGTTGTACAATTTCTTTTAATCTTTAACTCTGAATAAAATTATCATAAATGAATTTTAATATTTATTAATTTATTAATACAGATTTTTATATTAATAATAATTATATTAATAATATTAATAATAATTACTCATACTATTATATCATGATATCGACATCAATTTTGACTTCTTTTTCTCAAAATTAAATAAAATTTATATTTTTTTTTTAATTTTTTTAATTTTCTTACATAAATTTTATATCTTTTTAGAATCTATATATATTTTTATATATTTTTAGAATCTATTTTTAAAATCATTTCAATTCGATTCTCTTATGAAGAAAAGTTTCCTTGAATCTAATTTAATTATTATATGTAATAAGTGTATTTTACAGAAATTTCACAAAAACTTTCATAAGAAAAAAAGAGAGAAAACAATTTGAAAGGTTATTTGGTAAAGTCGAAACGATATTCGACTTGCAATTAAAATCAGTATTTCAATTGAACTTTCTCGATCAATATCCACACACAATTTTCATGGAACAGCGAACTTGCAGTAGACGATTCAGAAAATTTAAATGGGACGTGGGAAAACAAGGAAATTGTGTTCTCTCCAGCAAATCGTTGCCAGCCATCCGAAACCTTACCGAGGGCGGTCGTATGTTCATTCTATTCAAGGAAATGAACACTGAAAATGAACTGAGAATTCGCAGTCTTTAACACTTGACTCTCGTCATTTCTTTGACTTAATTAATATCTATGACGTTATAACGGTATAACGAAGAAAGAAAAAAATAAAAACTCAATTGCCAATGATTTATTATATTAATAATAATAATACAATTAAATAATTAAATAAAAGATAATTATTTTTTTGCATAATGTCGGAATATTTACAATTTGTTAACAATATATTATTGATCGAATATTATTGATAATTTGATAATCGAATATTATTCATAGTTTGATAATTATTGATAATTCAAAAATTCGATAAATATTCTTTTTAGGAAAAAAAATTAGTTTTTTGATTTCTAATCATATTTGCAATCTCTTCTTTCAATGAATTAGATATCAAATTCTTTAATGAGTGTTTTACTGCTAATTCTGAATTCTGTTGAATAAACTTATTGTTTCAATTTAAATGAAAATTAAGTATATAATTCATTTATAATTCATCCGTCTGCTTTTTATTTTATCATTATATTTTCTAAGTAATTTTTTAAAAATGACAAGATCAGTGTTTGAATTCAAATATGAAACCAATCAATTTTCAACCCATCAATTTTACTTTTCAAAGATTTTTACAATTTGAACAGAACCATTATCCAAATGTTTTATTCAGCAATCACATTTTGTTATTCAAACTACACTATCTCTATTCACAATACAAACATATGTTTTTTACTACACAGAGGAAATAAAGTTTAATTTAAAATTTGACAATGAGTATATATTTGCATAATATATATTATATTATTGAAACAAAATTGAAAATACTTAAGAAATTAGAAAGCAATGAGATTATTATAAAATTAATATATGTATAATATGTATAATATATATGTATAATATATGTATAATATATGTATAAAATTAATATATATATAATATATGTATAATGAGAAATCCATCAAATTATTGATATTAAAAAAGAAAGGTCCAAATTCCTTTATAAATTTATTCCGTTGTAAATAAGCATATTATTTTTCTCAAAATATAGAATAATTCATCTCAGAAAAGTCTATGTTCGAATTATTATCTAATTCTTGATTAAGCTTTTGATTAACTAAGTAAGTGATTCAGAATACGATTATTCTTCAAGCAAGAATAAATCGAAAAGGAGGGTATAAAATTTCTATTTAGAAGAGTTTCTATTTAGCTTTCAAAACAAAGTTATATTCATCACAATATTTCTCTTTCAAGAGAAGCTTGAAAACAATGATTTGAATGCAATCGTTGTTCTTTCGTCTTATTTTAAGCCATAGAATCTGCCTGATCCCGTTTGTATTATAAATTAGTTATTATTATGAATTCACTACTATTATTAATATTTTATTATTAAAAAATATTTAATTCAAGATTATATTTTCGAACAAAATTTTCAATAAAAAGTATTATATTAATATTAAATTAAAAATGTATGTAACAAGTTAAATTTTTCATTTTTTTAATAAATAAAATAAAAATTGAGTTAATTTCCATTAACATTCTTTAGAAAATATAATAGCTATTTATACAAAGCTCGATTAATTTGATGTAAAGTTATTTGAATAGCAACATAGTAGAAGTGAAGCAATAAAACTGATTCTTCGATCTTAACCAGTTTGCTTAATCAGTAGTTTTATTTATCGAGCTCGTATTGTTGTAAAAAAAAAAACGATTTTCCGCGTGTTCGACCAAATAGATGCTGAAAGAAACATGGAATTATGTCGCGCAATTAGCAGTGAATCACATGTCGCGCATCTAAACGATCGTAGGAGAAGTTGCGTCAGGAGACCAACTGAGGTCGCATAGAATTTATTGTTTTTCTTGCAAATAGAAGAACAGAAAAATTTGTCTCAGATTTTTAAGAAGGGTTTGCAACGAGTCTAGGAAGTAAATTTTTTTTTGTTGAAATTATAGATCCCAATATTAATATAAAGATCTAAACAAATTTTTCTTAAATTTAGGAAATTTATTCTAGGTTATAAATATGTAAAATTATATATTAAGGTCGATGAAAATTTTATTAAATACTTTCCAATATTAATGCTTTGAAACAACAAACTTTTAATTAAAATTAAATTATATTAAATTAATTGTTATTAGTATATTCAATTATTAGATTATTAAAATTTTTGTAAAACAATATATATTCGTATCTTCAATATTTAGATTTTTAATATTCATAATTTAATTTCATATAGAAAATATCAAAATATCTCAATTTATTGAGAATCAAAGTTGAAAGAGTTAGAGTCAAAATGTTGAAGCTATTTAAACAATTTATCATAAAAAGAAATTTCTCGAAAACAAACTTATTGCAAAATATTTATTTGTTGAATTGTCTGATATTTGTTGAAATCAATCTCTTCTCTTTGTAATGATAATGATTACAAAATTGTTTGAAAAATTCATGAAATTCATATATTTTTTATTAAAAAACCATCAATGTTTAAATCATTTAAGTATATAAAAATAAACTAATTAAAATTGCAAAATATTTGTTATAAGCTCGTAAAATTATTCATGCTTATTCTTTTTCCATTGTTATTGCTACTTAACAATCAATTTTTCAGGTAACACCGTTCTAAAAATGAATGACGAAGTGGCCAAAACACGACCAAGCATCATTATGCTGGCATTCTCAACTATTACACATATCCTCTTATTAGCACCAGTAATATATATAGTGGTTCTGTCCCTTCAACCTTTCATCTTTTTCTCCTGGCATGTTATTTGCTCAACCTTGGGTGTAAGTAGTTATCTTAGCCAATACTAATTGCACAATGGATAATGCACTAATGGAAACAGGTGAATCAGAAATCTAGGTGGTTGACTCCTACATTTGTAATGGTAACCCATTCTTGAAAAGTTTATTGAACGAATAATTAAATACTGGATGAAGCAACGCTTCTTGATTCTTGAGAAAAATCGATAAAACTGCCTTGTTTAAAATTGAAAATGAAAATTCTCAGTAATGATTTTTCTTTTATTACTATCTGAATTTTTCTTTATTACCATCTGAAATATAATAGATCTTTGTTTTATAATAATTTTTCATTTAATCGAAAAATTACGTAAATTGATTTTTTTTTCAATTTCGAATCGAATGTTGAAAAAGAATAATAATATATAACTTTGCAAAAAGGAAATGAGAACGTTTGTTGATATCAACAATGTTTCAATTGAAATTAATCCTCTTTTGATTGATAAATTTCTTTTTTATTTGAAATAGAGTTAATTAAAAAGATGATTCGTGGAAAGTTTCTAATATGAAATATCATCTATTAGAAAATAGAAAAGTTAGAACGCGGAAGATCGTTTATGTGGATAACCACAACTTTTTTCGTTTTTATGAAAGGGTGATCTATGTTTCATACTGGATAAGAAGAACGTAATATTAGATTGATTGGAAGTTGTTAAATTTTTCTTATAAAAGAAATCCAGTATTTTTATAATAATTTATAATTAGAGTTATGAATTTTTATATAAAATATATTTTATGAAAAAATATACAATAAAAGTAACTTTATTAGATAAATTGATAATTTAAATCTCTATAAAATGTTTGATCAGAAAAATATTTGATTAAAGTAATATATTAAATATTGAAAAATATTGAAATAAGATTTTATATATATAATGAAATCACTTTTTTACATATATGTAAATAGTATTAGGTATATTTTCGTAAATTTATTATTATAAATTTATTATATATATATTATTATATATATATTTATTATATATATTATTATTTAAATTTATTATATATAAAATCTTAAAAATAATTCACTAAATCTCTTAAAGTATCTCTAATTATTTTTTTTCTAGTTATTATGTTTGAGTTTAAAAATATCTTGATGGTATGATCTAATACAGTGCATTTAATGCATCCATAAAATATTATGCATTATTACGTTAAATGCATAACAAGATACTAAATATTTCTTTATATTTTTAAGATAACATATAATAAGATTGCAAGATTGATATCAAATTAGAGAACTGAGATTACATTATTATTTGTATCGTTTAAAAAAGATTTTAATATTTTTTAAGAATATTGCATGTAAAAGACTATAAAATGTAGTAATGATTCAAAAACTTCATTTAATCATCTCAACTCTTAGATCATCGTTGTAGTTGGAAGAATGCTGGCTTCTATTTATTGAGAAACGCATTGAATAATGTTCCTTAAATAAATCAAATATAGCAATCAAATATATCAAGAATACACAGTATATAAAATTAAACAAAAAATAAATTTTCAATAAAGCAAAAGAAAATCACTTGGTATAATAATAATATGGAAATTGGCATTAATCATTAAAATATTCCCCTATATTTTCCTTAGAAAATAGAAAAGAATAGGCAATATCATGTCAATTCATTACTTTCTTAAAACATTGTAAGCGTTCATACGTACACACCGAATTAAACGGAGAACGAATTCATCGTTGACCTAGATCGACAAATTGATTGCAACATTCCGTGAGTAAATTAAAACGATCACCATTGTTTCCAATTGCTCTGTCCATCAAAAATCCTCGAATAACAAACAACAAACATTCAAAAAAATGATTAATAATTCTTACGAATTCTAAGCATATTGTTATTGCTTAGAATTTTTATAATTTTATCCCAATATTTCATTAATTTTTAAAGGATCAAACGATTAAATTAAAGTTCATGTATATAGTCAATTCTAATGAATTTATCATTATTCAGAGTTCAGTCATAAACTTTTCCAAAAAATCCTTAAAGAAAACATTCCAACAACATCAATGTGAAATACGCTCCTTTCAATGTTTTAATTGTTTAACATTATGCAATAATGATCAATATTGATCATTGTTAATTCTGATCATTGATTATTAATTCTGTAACACGAATACGATTAATATATGCACAAATAAACAATACAATAAAAATACTGACATTATTAAAATATCATAATATCAATAATCTATCTATCAAATATGCTATCTAATTTCTAATGAAATTAGGCAATGTTATCAATCTAACTAATGTAATTATCTTTTTAAAGAATGAAATGACTAAATTAAAATTTATTTATAACATATAAATTCATTAATCAAGATTCAGCCACCAATTTTCCTAAAAAATCTCAATAATATCAAGAATGAAGAATTCTTCTTAATTTTTTAATAGAAAATTCTTAAAAAAATATCAATATCAAAAGAAATATGGAATTTTTTAATAGAAAATCTCTAGAGAAAATATTCCAATAATATCGACAGAGAATATAAAATTCTTTTTAATTTTTTAATTATGCAATAGTCAACTGATCCAATTAATAATGTAAACATGATTAATATATAAAAACATCAAAATATAAGCCAAAATAAAATTAACTACAATGTTAACGAAACGTTGGGATAAAATTGCTCATACACTAAACAACTGAACAATTTTAAACAATAATAATTTCATAAACAATGAAATGCCATGAAAATCTATTTTTCTTTTTCGAATTTTTACAAATAACAATTTCTCATTGACACAGGTCGGACTTTTGACAATGGAGGGAATGTTCTGCGTTTCTGGCGACGCTTACATGAAATGGAAGGTATCCAGGATGAACAGAGCATTGATTCATTTGATTCTTCATCTAATAGGATTGCTGCTGATATTGATCGGTATGATCATCATCATACTCGGCAAGATAGAATACAAGAAATCTCACTTCGTCTCGTTTCACGGGATTATCAGCTTGATCAGCATCATCTTTGCGATTCTGATAGCCGCGTCTGGCTTCGTCGTTATCTTTGACAAATGTCTGTATCACGGTTGTATCAGACCAATAATTCTGAAAATCATGCATTCGTTCGGTGGTATTTTGGCCACGATACTCCTGTTAGCCGGCCTGATCACAGGGATTTACACAGAATGGTGGTCTGGCACTTGCCTTGGAAGAAGTCTGACGGTCGCGTCATTCCTCATTGCCGCTTGCTATATCTTTTTAAAGCCGATTTTGGGTATCATTTCTAGGTGCAAAGTGCTTTTTGGAGAAGTACCTAATGACATGAACAATGAAGAAGAATTGAACAATGAGTATTGATTGTGATTTTGGAAATGATTGTTTTATTGTTTGATGTTAGTGATGGATTAGATTGAATATTGAAGCTACAATATTTTATATTGTAGCTAATTTTATATTGTATTGCTGATATACGGACTGTCTTATTTAAAATAAGATATTTAATTTTATCCTTTTGTTGTGATAGTTCTGAAAGATATAGTATATATATATTTTTTTCTTTTTTTTTTTTTTTTTTTGTTTTTCATGCAATTTGAATTGTATGAAATGATGAATATATTGTAAAAAATATTTTTGTACCATGTTCTTTTTGTCAGATTTTAAAATCATCGTTATAATGGTATTATGTAATTTGTACGCTTTAATATAATATTGGTATATTATGCTATGTCAATACTATACAGCATAGATAATACTATAGATAATACTAATGCACTATAATAATAATATCGTGTGCTATATTATACAGAATAATATAAGGCTAATAATACAATATATTGTACAATATTACACTGCATAATAGCAGTAATAACATACATCGTGGTATAATTGTATAATTCAGTATATAATAGTAGTATTTTGTACTGTATTATTATATAATTATTCAATATAATACTCTAACATTGTATTATCTAATGCAGTATAGTATGTGGTTATGCTATATTATAAAATCTTTGTATATATGCATAATATTTTTAATTTAATTTAAAACAGAAGGAAAAATTTTTAAATTTTTATATGAAATTAAAAGGCTTAAAGAAGAACATGAAATTCCAATATTTAAATAATAATGTTGTTGAAAATTTATAAAGTACATATAGTTAGTTGCAAAAATATTCATATATTATTTTATTAGGAAATTTTAAAATGTATTTTGAAAAATCTGACTTTGAAAATGAAAATTTTTGTGTATATAGAACATAGATTATGTAACAATTTATTTTTCTTAAAAATTCGAAATTAATCTTCAAATTTTTATTATTTCTTGTTTGTATATAATTTCAATACTAGAAATATTTTTTTTATAACAATGTTGTAGAGCATTAAAGCTTGAAAACTTTATTTGTAATAATAATTTAATATTTTATATTTTACGAAATTATTTTTAAAAAAATAATATTAAAACTTTTCATTTCTTTCAAGTAATATTCTATTTAATAAAAAAATTGCTACATATATATATATATATATGTAGTTTACTGTTATAGTGTACATATTTTAGTTTACAACATTTTGTATTAAACAGAATTATTATTTGTTTTGATGACTTTTCATGATAATTTATTAATTAAATTCATATATAAGGCGTATGAATACTTTTACGATTGGCTATATAAATTTTCACTTATTGACAAAAAGAATTTTATATTTTTTAAATATACATATATATTTACAATATCAAAATTTAAAGTATATATTCAAAAACGTAATTGTATTCAGAATCTATTTAGAATCCGTTCAATGGACGAAATTACAATACTTTTCGATCAGAACTGCGATAATGAAATCGATACGAAATGCCATTTTTATCAGACTATTTCACGTCATTTTGTCATGTAATTAAATAAGATCTGATCGAGTTAATCGAAACATTACTATCACTCATCGAACATGTAATCAAAATTTTTTTAAGAGAATTGAAAATATTTTCACAAAGTTCATACTTTTTAAAAAAAAAAAATTTTAAAAACACATTCCGTCCTTCAATGATTGCACATTTTTTAACGATCATTGACAAATATTGTAATTCCTTAGATAATCATTGTAATACTTAAGAGATATTTAAATAATTCAATTAATTCGTATTAAAATAAAATTCAATTCAAATTTTGATTTATGAAGTTTAAGAATTATGTTGCAAAGAATTATATTGATTGTAAAATTTCATCAAAATACAAAAGAATACAAGTTTAAATTATTCATGACAATTTGAATAAGCGATATTTATTCCTCTTTAGACAAATTGAATCTATTACGTCCAAGTTTAATTTCATTATTATTCTAAGTTTTTCAAAAATAAAAATAAAAAATTTTAAAATTCCTAAAAATAGCATTTATCAAATTTTTAAAAATATTTTAATAAAAAAAGAAATTCAAAAATAAAATTTCACTTAAGTCATGGCGCTCAAGTCAACAAACCAATTTACCTACGACGAATCAATCAATAAATAAGATATTTGAAATTAAATATTGCAATGTTAAATTCGCGATGAAAACGATATTTATTTCACCATTGCTGTGTTCATCGAATTGTTACATCTAAAAAGGAAAAAATGAGATGTCAATACAAATGCACGAAAAAATGCTTGTATACTCGTCGATAAAACAGATACATGTTTAAAATGTATAAATAAGTATTATTAAAGAATGTTTAACTGAAAAAAGAGATGCAGATTTTAATATTAAACTTTAATTCGTTTAAACGTTTAATATAAGTTAGTTTAAATGAACGAACAGAGACAATAGAGCTGGTGGCGTTATCGTCAACCATATATATCAACACTTTATTAATTACACACGCATCATATACATATACATAGAATTTACATAATGTATATATCTTTCGCAATGCAATGTACATGTATATTAATACAATTTCTTATTCTCAATATAATTTCATCGCCTCTTAAATATCTTTTTTCTACCTCCCTCGTCTTGGACATTTTCTTAATTCTTTCTAATCAACGTACGATAAATACTTCGAATCGAATTGATCATTCGTGAAACTTTCCTCTCTCATTTTTTTTTTTTTTTTTTGTTAAAATATGAAACATCATTTTATGCAATATGTTTTACATCGTTACATTTATATTATTTGCTTTGTATACGTATATACACAATTCGACCAAAAATTTGAAATCAATACATAAATGCATAAAACTGGAGAATCAAAAAAAAAAAAAAGGAAATTTATTTTAATATTCTGTCATTTCAAAATTGTATAAACGTAAAAAGGAATTTCAATAAAAAAGAATATTTCAATAAAAATACGATTAAAAAATTGGTATTGGATATTATATATAGGAAAATAATTCTAAATTTTTGGCCTGTAGTGTATATATGTATGTATATTTATATATGCATATGTAAATAAGTACACGTTTTGGTTTAAATTTCTCTTTTTTATGATGCTCTTTTTATAACTTGACCGTCTTAATTAAAATTATATGCACTCTTTTTCTACTTCTGTTTGACATTCGCTACACGCCTATATACGTATCTCATATGTATCTCTCGGTTTTGATTGAAAATCAAATTGAGGCATAAGTTTATTTTTATATATATAACGATTTAACAATTTTAACAAACAATACATTAATTTTTATAAATACTTTATAATTCAATGTAATATATTCAATAATTAATTCTAGAAACAAATTTGTTTATGAACGTTATAACATTAAGAAATCGAGAGACACAATGGTGTACCAAAATTACAACTTTTTAATATAATTTCTCCAATAGATTCCAATTTAATTCTATTTTTCTATAATCCAACAACGATTTTTCATAAAATCATGCTCGCCAACGTACAAAAATCTGTTTTTATTAACGAACAAATATTAACCCTATCGTTTCCACGAAATATAACACATCTTTTATCACCTACGCTATCCTCGCTCTCGAACGCTTTTCTCTTTCTCGATTAGCTCTAGGACACGTTACTTTGTACTGTTCGCTCTACTGGTTGCTCTTGGTGACGTAAAATCCGCAACGTTGTTCGATAACCGTAAATTCCTAATGATAATAATATATCAAACAAATTAAAACAATCTGTTTTGTTTAATTTCCTTTTTATTTTAAATGATTTTTTAAAATAATTTTCATAATAATAACAAATCAAATTATATAAGAAATAATTTATTTAAATATTTTTGAAATTTTTTTAACAAATAATAGCTGAAATTATTAAAATTATTAAAATGCAAATCGATGAAAATGATACAAAAAGCTTTGAATAGACAAATAATCGAACTTATTTACTAAATTTTTAATTGTACATCATGTATAATCGCTATCGGATAAAATCTATTTATTTTACGAAGAGAAGATTAAAATTAATATTTATAAATAACGCTTGAAATAAATATTCGCATCAACAAGATTTAAAAAAAAAAAATTCAACAAAAATCATCAAGTCACGTTTTTAAATAAAATTACATATTTGAAGTACGATCTTCTAATACTTTTTTTTTTCATTTTAATATCGTATTACCGTATTTGTTACTGATAATTCTACGTCACCTAATCTTAACCCTACCTAGGACAGTCGACCACGTGGCCTGACCGGTTTAAACCGGTAGCTAATGCTATTATTAATAATTATTATTTAATTATTATTATTACTCATTATTTTGTATAACATAACTTTTTTTTCATAATAATAAATATTGTTATTGTTGTTGTTAATGACGCGCTAAATCTTTTTTTGCTTAAATTCCTTTTTAAACCTGCATTAGATTTGCCTATCTAGCCTAAGGACATTAAATTTTCTCTCGAATGCTTATCTATCAGTCACCCTTTCCCACCGAATCCCAAGTATTTTTTACTTTTATCTTTATCTTTTGTCTTTTATATATATATATCTATATATTATATAATATATATTTCTCTTAATCGTATTTCTTTTGAACTGACGAAATCTGTTCAAATCGATCGAACGTGTCATTCATCAAGATTTCCTTATCGAAGAATTTCATTTTCCTTGATTATGTCTCGGATATGGCTAGTTGGAATATATTTGTCCCGCATTTTTTCGGTACACAGTTTCGTTTCTCTTTCTAATTTGAATATCAGTAATGCACATGCACATGGTTAATCTAATGTCTCTTTTCGTGTGTGAACAACGAACAACAACAGAAGAATTGAAAGAAATTCCGTCCAAGAAAGATGATACAAACGATAGATCTTTAAAGTGTATAATGCTTGATGATTATATACGTTGGTTTTTGATCGTTTGTTATTTTGTACGTACTCGTATGATTGTAAATGGAGAATCGATTAGGGCACTCGATTAATTGAAACAATTAATTGGAATTATAAATTTTCAAGGTGTTCAATATGGATCGATTCGATAAACTTTCATTGTCTTCAATACGAGGCTAATGGGCCCCGATATTGGATACGAATTCCGATCTTGGGATTCGAATATCGTTCTATTTAGTGTTTTTTGTTTTTGTGTTTTTTTTTTCCTCTTTTTGCCTATTTTTTTTTTCTGAAGCTCTGAGTATTAACAACGACTAGGTTTCTAAAATATTAATTAGGTCAACAAGGATCCACCTCGTACGCGGATAATGAGGATCCTTCTCCACTTATTCGTCCCTTTGAGCAAAGGATCGATGGCAAAGGACGATTAATTACTCTTAACGTCCACTTCAATCTTTTGCATATCGTATGATTACGATAGAAATGATAATATTTTAATGAAAGTATTAAAAATTGCACAAAGTTTTAACTGATCGAAATTTGCAAAACAGTGTAACCATAAAAATCTCTAGAAATTATTTTAAAACGTTGCAATTGAATTACTTAAAATTACTTAAAATTACTTGAAATTACTTAAAATTAAGTATCACTACGCAAAAAAAATTTTTTGAGAAAAAAATTTTCGCGAAAACTATTTTTTTTTTTTTTTATCTAATGCAAACGTAAGGATCGAAAGGAATATAAAACAAATTTCTAATTTTAACTATAAATTGAATCTATATATATACGAATGAAAATTATTTATAAAAAAAATAATGTAGAAAGGGAAAGATATGATTAAGTTAGATGTGTAATGAATATGAATATTAGTGGACTGTTAAGAGGACAGAAAGTGGAGTTAGGCCTTTGTTATTCTAGAAAAATTACACGTACACACGTACTTTTTTCACTTTCTTCTCGCGCTCTTTCACTCACTCATCAATAAAACATATTGCAAAATTCGCACAAAACGTTCACGCATACGGATAAGTTAACATATTTGGTATCTCTCTCTCTCTCTCTCTCTCTCTCTCTCTCTCTCTCTCTCTCTCTCTCTTTTAATTCTTTTAAATTTGAACGCAGCGGGTTTTTCGGTAATGTTTAATTGTTTTTCCGCCTCCCTTGAACTCCTCTTACAATATTATCAAACGACGATCGTGTATCGCATTTTTTTTTTTTTTTTAATTTTCTTATTCTCGTCTTTTGTACACGTAAATATAATAAACTATGCGACGCGTACACCAGTGTACAAGCGTCTATAAATATAATGTAATGTAAATATATATATATATATATATGTATAATATATTATATATGTATATCTATAACATGTGTATATATGTGTATATACATACATATATATATATATATATATATACATATATACGTAAGTATACGATAAACGTTATATGATACAGCTAGCAACACTTTACAAACGGGGTCACATAAAAAATAAAGAATCACGATTTCTCACGTTTATTGACTGTGTACGTACGCGCGAAAATTGTCCACAGTGTTTGCTCACGAGACACTGCTCGGATCACTGACTTATCGTTTATTTTATAATTCCTATTTTTGGGGTCTCAAGCGACCCGAAACGTTCTCCTCGCTGACCCGTGAAACGACACGAACCTTTCCCTTCCTTCCTTCCTCCCCTCTCCTCTCCCCTCCTCTCCTCCGCTCCCTTCGTGAAAAAAATACCCTCCTCGTGTATTATTCAAACTCTCTTTCTTCTTTTGATTCTCCTTCTTCATTCGTCTTCTTTTTTCTTCTTTTCCTTTTTTCCTGCGAGCAAGCAAGCTCGTTTCGCAAAAAAGTATAATACATATACAGCTAATATAGTCTAGGAGAGTCCCTGAAATGTTACGCGGGTGGAAAATAGATATTATTATACGGAGGCGTTGCATTTGGAATAGCTCTACGAGAAAATAGAGATACTTCTTTTTTCTTCTTTTCACGTGTAACGAGGACAGTATATTAAGTGTTCGTCGTCCTCCAATTGCGGATTTGATCTAATTGCGCTTTTAAACGGACGAAATATATTGGGTTTAACGGATTTTTGTTTTCTTTCTTTTCTGGAGTAAAAATAATAATGAAGGAAAATTTGAAAGGATTTGCAATGAACAATAAGAAAATAATAATAATGAATTGGATAAAAATATAAATTTATACTGTTTTTAACCTTATGTCACCTGCAATTTTTTATTTTCTATCAATTTACTTATTGTTATTCAATATTTTTAAAAGGCAAAGTGTGATATACATATATATTTTTATTATTTTATATCATGCATGAGCTTGATAACTTTTTAATTAACTTATTTAGACAGTTCCCCTTCGTAAATATGGTTATCATTTTATATTAATAGAGAAAATGAAAATGGAACCCTTCTATACATCATAGCTTAATTTATATTAAATACCACAGAATTAAACTATTTCAAACCATTTCATCCCCTTGATTCTTGTGCCTAAAATAGCCTCTGCCCACATTAATTGAAAAATAATATACGTTTAATACAATATGTATATTATCAAATATTATTTATTATTATTTTTAGCATAATTAATTCGATATCGATATCTACCTACATTCTACAGAATCTACATTATCGTAGAGTAAAAATTGATCTGTAATATTGTTACTTACAGCGTTGAAATAATATGGAATAATATAATTTGTATCATGTTATTAAGATCTTTGCACATCGTAATTATATTTCGTCCATTTAAATTCGCTCTTTGATCTTCCATAAATTCTTTCGATACTCCATTCTATCGCTGAACATATATATATATATATATTCTTCTGACACTCAACAATTTAATCCTTTAAGCGTTGAAACACATTTTTATTGATTTGTCGTAAAAAGTTTCTCAATCTATATTAGTTTCATTGTTAATAACAACAACTTACGAATTAATAAATAGTTTAAAATTATTAGGAGATCATATTTACACAATATAAATAAAACTAATAACAATAAAATTTCCAAAAAATTTCACTTTATAATGAATTTTAAATTGTTTTTCTGTTATTTTTTACAAAATTAATATTGTACTTTCTTAAGTTAACATAATTAAATAGATACAAATTATAATTCAATAATTTCAATATTAATTAATTACTGGCTGAAAAAAATTAATAAAAAAAATTTCTCTCGCACAAAATTTAAATTTCCAAAGATCGTTTCAATTCCATCCGATCTCCATTTCTCCATATTACTTCGATGTCAACGCTGAAAGGATTAAAAAACGATAAAAATATACTACATCGCTATAATCGTCTTAACAAAAATATTTTTACAATCCCTAAAGATTATTACAACCACTCGTTTGGAGGACATCGACGAGTGAACGCAGAAAGAAGAATAGCGCTAATCATCCCCCATTTTAAGAAGATTCACGCCTGTCTTCAAGATCGCATTTCCACATCCCTCCTCTTCCCACTCTAATTTCCTCCTTTAATTTCCCCTTTCACTCTTTTAGAATCTTTCAATTGCTGGACAATTTTTCCTTATTCACTCGATATACCTAGTATAGAAACATTTCGCGAGTCAACATCGAAAAAAGTACCAAACACTCGCCTTAACTAGAAACGTGCTTTACAAAAGAAACGAAATATGGCGATTAACAACGAGTATATGTACATATTCCATTATGTATATGTATATAATATATATATATATATCTGACGACAAAAATTGTCCAGCGGTTTATATCCAATGAAAAATTCAGCCTGAACGATACGAGAGTTGCATACATGTAAAATCGCGACGAGGAGGAGGGATTCGAACGCGAATCCCACGATTACGATGACCGCTAAATCGAACACGCCTAAATCTCACGGAACGTCTAAATTGATCCGCTATGCAAGTTAACGTTATCTTAGATAAGATTATCTTACACAGAAGCAATGTAATCGTTCGGTGATCGATCGACCCAAATAGTTAAGGGAAAATCGTTCGTTTCGCATCTAATTTATCTTTAATTGAATTGTATATTCGCTTCGGCGTGGATAGCAATAAATAACTTTCTTCGTTAGAATACGATTAAATTAAATTTCCCTCTTAGCTTTACGCTCACTTCACTTTTCTCTGTCTCCTTGTGAGTCTCCCCCTTCCTATCCATTCTATTCTTATGTATACAATCGAAAGCAGTGGAGTAGCGTTTAATTTTTCCTATATGATTTTTATATCGCAGCGCGTTTTCTTATTCTTTTGGAGCGTCTTATTCACGATTTTCTCTTCAATCGATAGTTTTGATTTCTTTTTCTTTTCTTTTTTTTTTTTTTTTTTTTTTTTTTTTTTTTTTTTTTTTTCAATCCATCCATTTACGTTTCACGCGAATCGCTGGCGCCTAATGATCTATCTATCTACTATTTTATAATAACGAAACAATATTATTTTGCTAATATCAAAGAATAACAACAATTTTAATTTATCCTTAAATATTCTTACCAGTCTATGTATCGTAACTACAAAAGAAGAACAAGGATATCAAATATATTTATATAATGAAAGAATATACGCATTTGTAAAAATTTAAATTAACAAATAAAAACGTAACGATACGAGACATTTAAAATTGTTACGTGTAATAACTAATATGGTAAGTTTTGTTGGAATTCAAAATTACAATATAACACGACAGTGAGAGATTCGATTATATCAAAAAATACACTAACTATTCCCATCTTAAAAAAATAAATTCATAGGAATCTTTTTTTTTTTTTCTTCTTCTCCTATATGGAACATTCAATGTCATTCAGTGTCGTTTGACTGCCACTCGATCGATCCATCGATTGTGTTATCCTATCCGCGATATGCAACTACCTGTTATTGGCGTGTTGTGTCTTTGGCAATAGAGGTCTGGGCAGACTCGTCTTTAGAGATAAAATGAACATCGTGTCAGACTTGTTGGGATGTGATCAAGTCGGTTTTACTAGAATTCTTGAGAATCGACGGCCCAGGAAGTTTCTGAGCGGTGCCGGATGTGCTCGAGGGTTGCACCATCATTGGTTGACCGTTCACCAGTACTATGGTGTCTCTGACGGAATTGTATCCTCCTGGTGGACCTGTATTAAATTTAAATTAGCATTTTTTTAATATGTCTAATGAAAATCTATTAATCGATTCTTTTTTGTAATTTAGTTTTAATTCAAAATTTATTGAAAAGGATATTCCAAGAAAATTTTGAGTTCAATTAAAACTTAGAATAATTATTTTAATGTAGATATTTTATATTCGTGTAAAAAAAGGATGAAAGTTTTTAATAATTAAAATATTTAATTAAATATAAATCGATTCTTCATCGATGAAATTGTAACTCGTTGTTTACAATATCGTTAATAAATTTACTTTCTATCTGCATATTTTGCAACAACTTGTTTAACATGAAATGTCATATATTGTTACCGATAATTAAGCAATAAATTTTATTATAGTTAAATATATCAAAATAATATTCAATCGATGCTAAATTATTATAACATATTAGATTATTAAAATAAATCAGAGAAATTTTAGAAATAGAATGAAAATGTTCAAGAATAATTCAATCAATCAACTTCCTATCCAAAAATATTACTGGAACCAAACTTAAGACCTTGACATCTAACAATTCTGTAAATACTCGATTAAGACGTATTTCGCTATCGATTATGCGTAGGAGGTGACCCTTGCATGGAATAATTCTTGATCAACTTAATAATCTTGTTGTTTGATAGACACAGAAATTATTCAAATAGTATTCGAGAGAAATTTATTTAATTGTAATATTCGAAAATTTTAATTTTAATTTTCGAAGTTATAGAATAATAAAGAATATTAAAAAAAACTCTGGATATTTTATATATTTAAAATTTCTATCATTAGAAATTCGAATACATTTTACAAAAGAAAAAAATATTGTAATTTTAATTGTTCATTCATCATCTTTTTAATAAAAAACCTTCGTTAAAAAAAAATCCTCTGATTTGTTAATATATTTGTAAGAATATCTTGAAGAATCTTGAAGAATACAAGCTATTATACAAGCTAAAATAAATACATAAAATCGTATATAAAAATGTTGTTTGAAGTTTGTTTAAATTATAGGTTTAATATTCCTTTAAATGAAACGAGACAGAGATAGAATGGCCTCGTTTACTTTGCTTCATCAAACTTCAATTGCTTATAACTTATAATTAATAAATAAGTCTCAATCAATATTATATATAATATATTTTTATATAGTTATTATATTATAGGTATTATATTTTGATTTCTAGAATCTATCCAAAAGTGCATTACGAATGTATTAACTCTCATATATAATCTCACTACTTATATCTTATAATATCTCTATTATCTGAACGTTTATATTTTGATATTTTACAATTATATTATTTTAATTTACTAATTTTAAATTTTAAATATTTTAAATTCTATACTTTATCCTTTGAAACATTTATAGCATTAGAAAAAGAATTGAGATGATTTGAAAAAGAAATAGAATATAATCAATATATTAAAAAGTTTATGTGATTTAGCAGTAAATAATCTGGATTCATAATTAAAAGAACATTGCATCACATTGCTTTGCAATTATTCCATTAATCTTTTTGAAATATAATATGACAATTATGAAAAAAAGGAAATGTTATATATGAAAATTTCTTTAAACAATTTCATACTACTATGAATTTAAAATCATTTCACACCAAAATACTTTCAAAAAAATTCAAGTATAATATTATTACACTTTATTTTACACTTTTATTTACAATAAATTTCCTAATATTTTTGCAAAATATTATCATTTAGCTTATTATATCCGGATTAATTCGTTACCAGTCTTATTTAAATCCGATTAAAATTATTCTGTTGAAAATCACGATCCCTACACGTATACCGCATATAATAGTTATACACAAGATTAACGCTTAATTAAATCTGGATTACCTGGTGACGGCGTGTGAGTGAGTGTTCTCGACGGAGTGGAAGGATTTCTGTTCGCTGGACCCCAATCGGAAGTAGGCTGTAAAAGCATCTTGGCGCGCCACCACACGTTCTTCCCGTTGCTCTTCTTCGTTTTACCTTTGCCAGGCCTCTGGTACGATGGCCTATTGTCCAGGTCGTCGTCGTCATCGTCGTCGTCGTCGTAGGCGGAACGTCGACGACGATCCCTCAATTGGTTCTGTGATAAATTTATTAATAAATATTGGATACGGAAATTTCCATAAAATATTTTGAGAATATTAACGGGGTGGATGATAAAAGAAATATGCGAAATAGAAAAGTGTACGAGACTGTTCATCCTTCTGAGATATATTTCATTATATTTGACTATTATATTTGATATAGTCTTGTCTGAATTTTTCTTTTATATATACTTTAAAATTTGAATATTATTAGAAAATTTTTTACACATTACAAATATGATGTTTGTTTTGCTTTTAAGATGATATAATTTATTATCAGATTATTAATCGTGATACATTTACTTCATGTTACATTAATAAAACTATTTCCACGTTGCAATTATAGATGACAAAACACTGGATAAGTAAAAGAAATTCTGTTTATGCAATTAAGTACTCTTATAATTGACGTTTCAATAATCGATATTCCAATAATAATCGACATTCCATTGTATACACCAATCCTGTAAACTTCCACTTCAACTTCTTCAATTTCAAGAGAGCAAATACTTTAAAACGTAACGTTGCGATATCATTTTTTTTTAACGATGATCGAAAAATTTTTTTTTTTTTTTAATTTTATTTGAACACTTACGAGGGCCAAGCCAACGATGACCAAAACTGGTATCATACCAACGACCCATCCGACAATGTCCGCCCATTTTGGATAAACGTAGACACCGTATTTGAGAGGCTCGTATTCGACCCAGTTGAAGAAGAGGATAAAGAAAAGAGTGGCTGGTGTAATCACTTTCCACATCCAAGTCCAGAAAAATCTCCAGAGGCGGCTACGAGGTCCGATCATTTGCTGTACATCGTCGAGAAATCGATCCGCGCCGTAAATCCAGGCGACCAAGATGCACTCACCGATGGCTATTAATAAAACCGACCAATTCGCTGCGTATTTGTCCATCAATTGCAACCAATACATGCCAGCCTGAAAGTATGAAAATATGACATATAATATTTATATGATATTTAATCACAATCATCTTTTAATTGATTATTATGTTTTTATAATAGAAAAATATATATATAATAATTAAGATACTCTTATTTTAATCCATAAATGCATTTTTCTAATTTATATTCAAAAAATGTGTCAGAAAGAATTTTGTTTTGAGAGGAAAAGGAATTTAGCTAGGAATGTAGTTAGCTTTTTTAAATGGACGCAATGGAATACAAAGGACACACGAAATATTGGTATTTTTTTATATAAAATCATATAATGCATCTCGATATTTTCTATAAAAAAAAAGTATCTATTTATATTGAGAAAATTTATATCGAATCTTAGTTGGCTTAGAAGATATTTTAACTTGAAATTCATACAATTTATATATGAAAGAAAAACAAGAAAAATGAAACGCGATACTCTATTGTTTTTGCTCTTTTTATTTTAAAGAATATCGGGATTAATTTGAAAATAATTGAAAATAATTCCATGAAAAAAAAATAATTTAAAAATACCTTTATATGTTGTTCCATGCATTTATAAAAATCTAATTAATTTGACACATTTTTTTGAATAACGAATAATTCGAGAAATATATGATAAAAGAAGAAGAGAATCTTTTTATAAAATCTTTTCTACGCTATTCTACAAACAATTGTAAAAAACATATATAATAATACATTGCTCAAGAAAAGAATATAAAGTAGAATTTTTTTTTGTAAACTTACATTAGTAGTAAAAATAATTCCACCAGCATAACCAAACACGGCTGCCGCCAAGACAACCCATAATTTGTAGTTTCTTAATGCTGGAAAGGCATCGAGAATTGCTGTGGTGACGGTTTCCATCAAAGCGAATTGAGAATCAAGACCCAAGGTGAGGAGCATCACGAAAAAGAGCAGCGACCAAACTGGTGCGACTGGTAAACGTGCTACTACCTATTTTTATTATTTTTATATTTATTTTTTTTGTCATCATGCATATATCAATATATATTACAAATATTATTTATTTATAAAGATAAATAAAAAATATTAATAGATGCTAAATACAAAATGTATGTCATTTTTCCAAATTTTCACAAAATATAACAAATAAAAAATTTCTTTAAAAACAGATCTATAAATATATTATCTATATTTATTATAAAAATAATAGAAAATCATTAAAGTTGATAAAATACGTGTATTATCTCAGAAACTTATATCAGAAACAGAAATCATGGAAAGGAAATTTGAAAAATGAGATACAATGAAAATAATTATTGATTAAGATTTGTAAAAGTATTAATATTTATTACAAAAAATTATTATCCAAAAATAATTTTAAGTAAAAAAAAATTTAAAGTAAAAGAAGACATATTAAATTCACGTACCTCGGGATACACTATAAATGCTAATCCAGCACCCTGGTCGACCACAGACGCCACCGGAACCGCAAGCTCGTGAGCGAGGAAACCGATCACAGAGAAAATTACGAAGCCAGCGAAAAAGGACGTGCCGATGTTGCTGACGGCGACGATTAACGAATCCTTGTAGCAATTGTTGGTGAATTTGTTGTAGGAGCTGAGCGTTATCAGACCGCCCCAAGCAGGACTCAAGGCGAAGAATATCTGCACAGCGGCATCGCCCCACACTTTCGCGGACATTAGCCTTTTCCAATCGGGTGTTAAGTAAAAGAGAATGCCCTCGTTGGCGCCAGGAAGCAAAATTCCACGAATGAAAAGAGCGATCTGCGAACAAAACGTCGAATCGAAACGTTCCACCTATTTTAAAATCCTTTTCTTGCTATCCAATGCTTTTGGGATTGATGGAAGAATCTGTATTGAGAGGTTGATTCGAAGGAAGGAAAGAAAAAGTAAGCGTTCCGATTTCTAATAGGATTCTAAAGAAGAAAGAATTTAGTTTTAAAAAAATAATTTAACTGAAGAAAAGATTGATAGAAGAATTAAAAGGAAGTATTATGATAAGTATTTTAATTAATAAGTGATGAAAAATCGTGCTCAGAAATTAAAGAAGATTTTTAGATTGAGAAAAGCGTTAGTAAAAATTAAGAAAATTTGTTTAATCGATGTGATAAAGAGTAGAGAAGTGCAGTAGAAAGTTATATAGCAGGGACAAATACAATATTTTCCCATGAGAAAATAAGAAAAAATATAGAATAGAATTTTTCCAAAGTTTACCAGAACAACGTATGGGAAGAGAGCAGTGAAATAGACAACCTTTCCCGAGCTTTGAACACCTTTGCTCAGGCAAAGGAAGACAATGATCCAAGCTAGTAAAAGATTCACCGCCATCGAGGGTCGAATGGCTCCTGTCTCCTCTATACCGCTACTCATCCCCAACACGTGATTGCTGCACAACACATTTCAATTGATATACCATCAAATTATTTAATTCATAATTAATCGATCGAATTTTCGATTCAACTTTTATTGCTTATTAACATCGATCGATCGAAATAACACGAAACTGATGACATTTTTTTTTTTTTTCAAAATCATAAGACATCGACAAAAGGTTGTTCATCTTTATTTTTTATTGAGGATGCAGATGTTTTAGATTATAAGAGATTATAATAAGAGAAATGTATAAGATAGTATTTATTTATACGATTCTTACTTAAAATATTCCTCAGCCGGTGGTCTTCTAATGGCACTAGTGATATTTTCGAGAGTCAGGCCCATGGAGGCCATCTGGGTGGAATTTAAGCATTTCCTTTTGAAATAACTCATGTTTTGAGACACGCACGCCTCGGCAGCTTCTGGCATGAAGCAGTCTTCGGTACTCCATGCTGGTTCGCACTTGCTCCATGGCAGTTTACCAGCTCCTATATAATTTTATATTATAATATAAAATAATATAAAATTTTATAACAAATGCACAAAAAAATACTTTAACACGTAAAATAGACATTATCTTTATCGATCTTGTTGAAAGAATATATCTAATACAACAAATGTACAAAAACAACATTATATTTATTCATATAATTTTAATTTCTATTTAATCTGATCCTGAATTCATGATATAAATAAAGAAAATTTTATGATTCGAAATAAAACGAAAATTAAGATATAGGAATAATTAGAAATTGCGTAGGAAGCTTTGTTTTATAAATTAAGTAAATAAAATTTAAATATTTTCCAAATATAAATTAATTAATTCTCTAACATATAATAATCTATTCATTCATATCTAACTAAGAATTAACCACTTGTATTTAAAAAGTACTCAAATTTGATTTGAGTTGAATTTTTTTGAAAAAATTTTATTCTGTTTTCTTATATTTTTATTTCGAACTTGAATTTATTTTATACATACAGATGTGTGAATTAAATAGAAATTAAAATTATATGAAAATTCGTATGTTACAGAATATGAATTATAGATTTGTATATATATATTCTGTATATATATAAATTCTTAATCTATTTTATTTTTCTGTGATCACACATTTTCCAATAAAAAAAAAAAAAAAAAAAAGGAACGAAATTCGTAAGAAACCTAGATATTCGTCGACACATTCGAAAAACTAGTAACATAGATTCAGTGAGATCAATAATTCACGCTTCACGTCTTCGCATTCACAAAACATTTCAAACAAAGAATCGTTTTCCTTTTCTAAAAAAAAAAAGAAGAATATATCGAATGATATACAGATGATATAAAATATTAATACATCTTTTCATCACTGTTATTATAAAAAACAATGTTTTACATGGAGTAGAATGATTTCAGGAAGGACACATGATATTAGTTTCTTTTTTTTTCTTTTTTTTGTAGAAGATATGTGAAGATCATTAATGTTTTTTTTTTAATGGGATCATATATTTTACTCGTATAAAAGATAAAGAACATGCAAAACGATCTATCTACTGTTCATGTTCCCCTTGTCTTTCATACTTGATAAATTTTATAAATTTTATCCAACTCTATACGAAACAATTTTTAGTATCAATATATAAATATATAACAATAAACAAGCATTCTGTGCGTACACGTTTAAAAGAGAAAACTCACCGGCCACGGAGACGAATATGTAATAAAGAGTCCAGGCGATGATCAAGTTGTAATAGAGCATCACCACAGAACTGACCAACACCATTCCGTATCCCAAGCCGCGCAGGAGGGGGCAGAAGCGTTTGTAAGCTGCCACTGGGCCAAGGCTCGCGTACTGCCCTGGGGGAGAGAATATTGCAAAAGAGAAAGAAAAAAAGGAAAAAGGGAAGAGAATAGACGAAGAAACCGATCGATAAACCATCTGTGCCAGGCCGGCTACCCAGTGCACACCTGCAATTTACACGGAATATCGAATCGCGAGAGAGAGAGAGAAAGAGAGAGAGAAAGAGAGAGAGAGGTCGATATCACAACGGTTCACCGGTTCGCCTAAAAATAACGTTACGTAAGCTCTGGTAACGAGGAACGATCGTTCATTGATCGTTCTATTTCGGTCGATAAACAAGCGTGGCTTGACCTTGGACAAGCATGACCATAAGAGTAAGGTTTGTATGTTCTTACGACATGTGTATCTTGGTGTCTATTTCCGTGTTATTTCAACCTATTCGCAACCGAGATATCTCGTGACGCAATTTCGTTCATGCGAATATCTATTCAGAGTGTCCTAGTCTGTCACGAAATGGAATAGGACAGAAGGTAAAATTGTGTCGAAAGAAAGAATAACATTGATTAATTAAATACAATGAAACTTTTGTGTTTGTTCCTTTGTTCGATAAATCTAAAATCTTTTTGACAAGAAAATGCTTCGTTATCCGTTCAAAAATTCAATATTCGTCGTCAAAAATTACTGCATGATTCACTTTCTGTCATAATGGCTTTTCGATAAATTATTAAATATTAAATTTTTGGTTGAAATTGTATTTATTTAAACTCTCATTCGAAGGAGAAATTAATTTTTATTATTAATTTTTTCGTTTATTTTTTTGTTACTTTTTATTGAAAAGATTGATTTTATGTTCCTTTATTCTTAAAAAAAACGAATTAATGATGAATGTAGAATTCATTTTATATAATATATACATATATATAAAACTGACTAATTCTCGATTACTTATTCATTATTCTATGAAAATATATATCGTTTGATAAAAATGTAATATAATATTTAAAAAAATAAAAACAAATTCTTCAAAAAATAAATTTTATGTTTTTATAGATAGAAATTAATTTAACTGATTAAAAATTTTGTTTCTTTTATAATTTTGCTAATAATCTTTAAAATTTAAGTATTCTATAAATTGTTATTTCATATATATTTTTCATTATATTATATTTTTTATAATATTCATATTTTGAAATATTTTTTGTATTTCATTTTTATTAGATAAAATAAAATCTACTCCAAAAAATATAATATTTTTACTTTAATAATTTAGAAATAAACTTATAAACTATCTTATAAATATTATAAGATATATGTACTTTGGTAGATATATATTTATTATAGATCACAAAATTGATGATTTGTTAGATATATCAGTTCTTCAAAGTGATAATAAATGGATGAAGATATCGCGCTTGTTAATGGAAGACCACGCAAAGTATTTCTCCCCCATATATCAATCATATTTTATCACGAAACATCTTGTTTATAATAAATGAAGAATTAAATAATTATATTTTTTTCATCTTTCTTTTTTCTTTTTTCTTTTTCTTTATTCTTCCAACATAAATTGAAAACAATTAATTTCTTGCAAAGTTTGATTATAAGTTCTATCAATTTAAAATTAATTAATTATTATTTTAAGAAATAAAATAAATTTTTTAAAAGGCACAATTTATTTGCAAGAATCTCGAATAACTGAATTATACGATATAAATGATTTAAAATAGAACCACTTTGCAAGACCAAAATAACTTTATTCTTGTTCTGAGCACGAAGCATGAAAGATATTGCATGTTCTTGGAAATCGACATTTATTTGTTCTGATCAAATAGAAATAACATCACTTCCTCCCATTTCCCGTTTTGTCAAATTGTTATATTACTGTCATTTATTTGATTTGTTTCCGATCTGATATTCTAATATTTATTCTTTATTCATTTATTCACGTGATGTGATGTGATAATACATTTACGAGTTTAATAATTTTTCGAATTATTTTGATGTCTTATTATGATTAAACATGAACATTGTAAAATTTTTTTATATAAGCATATTGCTTTTAAAACACAATATTTTATACACAATTGAAAATATAAGTTAGTTAATATAATAATATGATATTATGTGTGCAATAGAGATTATTATAGTTATCAATCTTTATTACGTCCATTTTCAATCATCAATATAGTAACGAGAAAAAAGAAGAAGATTGATATAAAAACATTCATTTCGTTCTTTGTTTTTATTTTTCAATTATTTTTCGATGAAAATTTGAAATTTGTATTTATCAATTCTTACTCTTTGTTTTATATTAAATGTTTATTACTACTTTTAATAAAGCTGCTTATAATAGATGCTCTTTAGATTTCCATTAATAAGCCAAACGTGAAGTATAAATCGATAGGAAACATACGTACATATTAAATAATATCTAGTTAAATTCAAAAATATCTTGATAATAAAATGAAAAATTGTGATCTTGATAATAAATGAATACATAACATATATAGATTTAAGTACAAGTTAAATAATTATTATAAAATAAAAATAATTAATCACATTTTATTTCTTTTTTACAACTTTGAATTCAAGTAAATTACTACAAAAATTATTTTAATGCTAATTTGTGTATCAATGAAATAGATTATATTTTTTACTCTAAAACATTATAAAAATAAAATAATTAACACTAGAACTACCAAACAAAAATAATAAATGATAATAAACTTTAGATTTTTTATTTTAAAAATACAGATTTGTTTAGGAAAATTAATATTTCATTTTATTAAAATTGAAATATAATTATACAGAATATTATTATCAATATTCGTTCAAGTATTCTTAGAATACTTTTAAGAGTAAATTAACATAAAATTATAATTGATATAAAAAATTTCTGTTAAAGCTTATTTATTAAATTATAAGTAATAGATGTTTGTGTTAAATGAAACGAAATAAATATACAAGGATTTATAGATAAAAATCTCATAAAATACTTTTTTTTTTGCAATCAAAAACATTGCAGTCTTTTTTTTTTTTATTAAAAAGCCATATGTAATAATATTCTTTATTATCATATTAAATTTTATGATTTACAATTATGCAACAACAACAGTTTTAATAAGTAACTACTTATTTTTAGCTGTTATTATCAATGAAACAAAATGTTTCACAATTTTTTGAAAAAAAAAATTAAATTAATATGAATTGAAATAAATAATTTGAAAATCATTGAAATGCAAAAATATTATCTCAATATTTTCCAGTTTTTTTAATTTGTTATTTTTTCAAAAGATTCTGAAACATTTTATAAATATTTGTTTGACTATAAACAAATATAAACAATTCATTGCAAATTATAAATCATAAAATCTTCAAATTGAAACTGATGATAACTAATGGTAGAGAACACTATAACAGAATCTAATAGAAAAAATAGCTGCAATATGAGAAAATGAAAAATATTCCATGAATTTTTTATCCATAGCATGCAGACTATCCATCTTCATCACACAGCTCTCCTTTTATTTTCACCTCATCTTTATTTTCGCTTCATTTAATACGAACTAAAATTACTTATAGCTTAATAAATTATAATTACTTAATATTTCCATTTTACATATCCACGTACAAAACACACAAAGTTATTAGACAGTTCTAACGTTATTCCTAATTTTTCCTTTTCTATATTAAGCAAATTATTATTAGCATTATTTTTCATACTTTTCGCATCGATGAAACAAATTATGTACTTTGCTTACCTAAGGAAAGCTCCATGAACATTAGAGGCAGTCCCGCGATAATGAGCATCACTGTGAACGGTATTAGAAAAGCGCCCCCTCCATTTGAGTAGCAGAGATACGGGAACCGCCACACATTGCCAAGGCCGACGCTGTATCCCAAAAGAGACAACAGGAAGTCGAATTTCCCTGTCCATGTACCACGTTCCGGATGTTCGTCCTCGCCGGCCTGCAACGGTGCTTGGCTGTTCGCCACCGAGTACTTGTCTTCGTTCTGCTACAAACGGTACATGCTTTTATTTCACTCTGACTCGTTTATTGTTATATAAATCGTCGTTACTTTTTTTTAGTAAGTTCGATCGTTTGAAAAAGGATTAAATAGAATTTACACATTTTTGGATATTTGTGAAGATTCATATCAGTGGTTCTCAACTTTCGAAACTTTTTAAAATTACAATCTTATATTTTTTACTCAATATTTAGGCAATTTTATTACATTTGAATATTGGAAAATAGTTTGTTTTTGAATATTAGAAAAAATGTCTCTATAAATTTTGAATTTATAAAGCAAATAATATAAAAATCTTTGTACAATGTATGAAATAATGAAGTTTAAAAAATTGAGTATTAAATTACAGATATTTATTCTCTAGTTGATATTATTCTTTAAATGATTAAATTTTATGTTACATCAAACCAATTACATTCAAATCAAACCAATTACATCACAAATTTTAATAATAAACCTTACATGCATATTCAATCGAAATTATACCTTCGAAATTATAAATAATTAGGGAAAATTAGGCGTGACAGGATAAACTTACCTTCGTTTATGGCGGATGAGAAATTGTAACATCGTTAAGCATCGAATTAGGTCAGATCGTGAAACGTTCTATATATTTTTCCTTAACTCTCGTATTAACTTTGAAAATCCTCTGTACGGAGCATTCCCATCTCTCTTTCCCAGTTATCTTAATTATATATTCTTGGTTTGACTTTGCTCTTCGCATTATCGATCACTGAATTATTACCCTCGAGATTTAGAATCGAGATAACAAACTTAAAGTCGAAAATGGTTGAGAACCACTGTGCATTACGTGTTAAAATGAAAGATTACGAATTTTCGTTATTTTATTTTTTTTTTCTTTTTTTCCTTTTGGAATTGGTAATTCCCCAATGATCTATGACTCGCCATTGTGCAACTGTGTCACGTAAATGAAGTTGGAAAAACTAAAGTTATAATTTATTTACAAGAGAATCTCAAAAATAGCGAGAATAGTAATAACTATTGGAAAATCACTAACAAATTCCCTCGACGTCTCGATCCTTTGTGTATCTTAATTTTTTGTCATTTTTTGATCCGATACATTCCGCTACATTCCGATACATTCAGCAACTTAATTTAGTTAACATTGTTTTGGGACACGCATGTCAAGTGCAATGTGGGCTTGATTTACGTACATACATTCTGTATGCGTGTAATGCGTGAAAGCATGAACGGTGATGTGACATTAATAATATTTTTTACGAAAACAAAATGTGATTAGCTATTGGCATTTTAATTTATTTTTGTACACTAAATTTTATTCACAGAAAAATATTTCTTATTCGTGAAATATGTCAATAATATGACAATATAATATTTCTTTTTTAAAATTATACTTTTTATATCTTCATTTAATAATAATAATATAATATAATAACAACAACAAAAACATACACGATATTCAAATATTTAAATAAATAATATCTTCTTGCATAAATTTCAAAAAGCAAATTTCAAAATAAAATAACAAATATCTTAACAGATGATACAAAAACTTACCTCGAAATTTTTCATATCGTTAGTTTTAATAGATTTTAATCAGTTTACTTTTTATTTGAAGTGAAATTTTAAAATAATTAAGAGTAATAATTATAAGAATGTTTTTATATTGATATTGTAAATTAATATTTCATAATGTCATTAATGATTTATATAATTTTAAAATAATTATAAAATACCAATCGTATCGTTCGAAAATTATTATTATGAGGAAATTACAATTTGTTGATATGATGTACAAATAATAATTTCTTTTTTATTTAATCACACAAATACCTTTGAAAATCGATATAATGAGCCTGTTCGAAATTGATTTTCCAGAAAAATGACGCGTATTTCTAATCGAGATGATCCGCGTTCCGGAAAAATTACATTAAAAGTTCGATGAGATATTTTAAAATTGTTAGGTTAGGTTATACTAGCTCAAAAATTTGTGACGTTTATATTAAATTTTATACGATATTAAAAACGATTGGATATTTATATTGGAAATACTTAGATATTTTATATAATTTTTTTAATATATCAATATATATCGAAAGAAAAATAACATCATTGAATAAATATTTTCTTTTTTTCCTTTGTATTATTCGACGGTCGTAAAAGAATCGAATTTATTAAATCGAAAAAGACATTGAAAGCGATCGAAAGCAAATGCTTCTACGCATTACTAATACATCAACTAGCAGTGTGTATGCATTTTAATTATTTTCTATCGCATACCTTGCTTTTAAATTCCATTTAACAGGATCTCTTGGACATTCTCTCTTTCCTACGTCTCTGTGTAATTCATTTAATGAATTAGTAGTATACTTCTTACAACTCGCGTTTTTTTAGAAATTATCTATTCTTTTAAAAATATGGAATTTCTTCCTTGATATCAAAAAATTAATACAAGATCATGAATATTTTTTTTTTCAACAATTCATCTTGGTTATAGAAATAGAGAATTTATCTTATGAAACTTTATTTTTTAAATTTTATTCTATTTATTCGTTATTTTATAAATATATAATATGTGTTAACATTAAACAATCCAGATATATTAATTATAAAAAATTAATAAAAAAAAATGAAAAATGTGTTAACATTAAACAATCCAGATATATTAATTATAAAAAATTAATAAAAAAAAATGAAAAATGATATGTAATATGCATTCATCAAGAAGAAAACTGATTCGATATTTTATTATTTGAGAAAACATAAATTCTCTTTATCAGAGGGTAACTTTATCCATAATTTCTTCCAATTAAAAATTTTATCACTTGTAGCACTTTGCTTCTAAATTTTTAAGAATTATATTCCTCAACTTTAGATTAAAATGAAAAATTGTATTCGATTAATTTTCTTTTACACAAGCAAATGAGATTCGGTTTATGGTTATGGTAATAAATAATCTAAACTTTTATACGTTTTATACTTTTATCGAGGCAAATTAATTATTAGATTACTACGCTGGTCTAATTAACGATTAAATATCAAGAATTTCGTAACATAACAATTTTAATTAGTTTCTATTAATTAAGCTAATTAGTTAGCTTTTATTTTATTTTATTTATATTAAAGCAAAGAAATAAATAATTGTGTTATTAAAATTTTCTTTCTTCTTCAAATAATTTTTTTAAGCATTTATGTTTGCTTGTTTTTTGATTCCAATTTTTATTACCATTATTCATGAATAATTGATCCATTATTCATGATTAATTTACTCTACTCCAATATCCTTGCATCGTCACATTAATAACGTGACCACTATCTTGTTTTTCAAACATAAACCGATTTACTTTCAACATTACTCTTATTACATCACATCCAATTTTCCACGAAAAAGAAGCTATTCCATTAAACTTTGCTTTAATGATTACCTATTTAACGAAAAAATAAAAAAAAAAAGAAAAAAAAAGAAGAAAAAAGAAAAGAACAATAGTAATAAATCGCCACTCCAATTTAAACAGATTTTAATCAATTCAAGCGCAAAAGAGAAATTCTCCGCGTTAAGGGACTCTTGCAAAATCTTCTCGTTAATCTTCCTTTTACTTAAGCCCGTTACGAGAAGGAGTTAACAATTTGCAGGGAGGACTATTTTCGAAGAAAGATTTTCATTCAACGACTATTTTCGTTTATCCGTAATTGACGTTCGCATTAAGACCATCTGTATTCCACGTGACATGAAAATGGTGATGGAGAACATTTTTACCTCAAGAACATTTGGTTTTCGCGAATCGATTAAAAGCCGAGGAGCCCATTCAAGGAAATTTCATTTTCGAGATGGATTCCAGACTCCCCTGCCCGACTCTGGCCTATCGATTTATCCTCGAGCACAGTTCCCTCTCGAGAACATCAAACTCGATATTCCACGCGGATTCGAATGAAAATCCTAAATCTGAGGCCTCGACGAAATGTCAAGTATCGGGGATTGGACGTCGCGACCGAATTCCTCGAGTTTCGCGCTTCGATGGTTCAAATCGAATGACTTTCCTTGCAATTTTTCAGAATATTTCTTTTTTATCTTTGGAATGCCATTTCGATGAAAAACTAGTTCTACGAGTATTTATACGTAGGCCTTTATCATGGAATGCGTTACGGTGGAATTAGTTTTGTGAATAGTTTTGCATAATTTTATTGGGAAATTTGTTACGAATTATTTACGAGGAATTTGTTTGGAAATAGTTTCATGAGCTATTCCGTGGGCTTTTACTATCGAATGTATTACGGTGGAATTGGGTTTGCATATATTACATGGATATTGAGTAAGAAGTTTCAGTTTCTTTCTGGTGATAAAATATTTTTTTTTCTCCATATCTTTCTGGTGATAAAATAATGATAAAATATTCTAATAGTCAATATGGAAAAAGGTAATGGTTATAAACAGAAATATATAAATATTGTAATGAAAAATTATAATAAAACTTATTTGAAATATAAAGGAAATTTATTTTTAATTCAGATCGTTATTGTTAGTTTCATTTTGAAAGGAAACTACTAATTTTTGTACATAGTACATAAGCTGAAATAATTTAGAATTTAAAATTTATTACACTATGAATTTTTTATTAATGTTTTTCTAATTCAGTACAAGTTGTTTATATTAATCTCCAATTTGTATTATTATTAAATCGATTTTTAAATAAAATACAATTCTCAAAAATAACAATTATTTTCATCGTTTGTAAAACGAATTTCATCATGTGATGCACTTAATTGCTTCTGATGTATTAGAATAATTTTCGAATTAGGAATACTGTAAAATTTTGCTTTTCTAATTAGAAATCGTATTCGAGAAAATTAACACCTAATAGTTAATGACTCTTGCAATTAGTAAGATATCTAGTAACACAAATTGCCAATTTAATTACAAGCAGTTAATAACAATGCAATAACGAATGCTAAAAGAAATATATATATCGATTCAATGTTAATGCGAGATTGCTGAAAATTTTCCTCTTATATTTTTAATGCAAAAAACAAAATGCAATTGAAGAAAAAATAGGAAATGTTACTACTTAAAAAAATTAAAAAATGATAAAAAATAGAAAACTTATAAAAATGTCAAATTTAATATAAATAAATCCAAAATCGATAGTTTGTTTCATTATAGAAAAAAATATATAATCAAAAATAACTAATTCATTTTATTATTTAAAATATCTCTCATTTTTGATTAAAAAATATTTCAAATAAAAAATCAATATTTTCGAGACATTCATATTCTATATTTAATTAATTTTTTTTACATATCAATGCATATCAGAGATCATATGAAAGTGACTTTTGATTTTTAAATAGAATTATATATTTAATGCACTATTCTATATATATATATATATATATATATATTAAATGCATTATAAGCGATGCATTTCTATTCGATGCAACAATTTATTTTTTATTATGTCGAATAATATTTTAATTTAAATTTCGTAAAAAAAATTGATGTTAATTAAAAAATTGGGAAAACATGAATGAATATGTCTTTTATATAATACAATATAATTCAAGTTAAAACATTTCCTCCACTAATGATTTATTTTTTACGTTTTGATATAAATTATTTAACTTTTTTATAGAAAACAAAACTATCGTTCCATCAGTGCTTTCAAAAATATCAAAAAAATTAATAATATCAAAATATACGCTTCTCGAAATTCACCACTCAATTTTTATTTGAAACATTTTTTGATATTAAATTTTTTTAATTAAAAATAGATAAAAATACTATATAATTGTATAATTTTTTTAATAAAACAACATTCTAATACATTCTCCACCTACTACTCTTCCATGTTATATCCATCATGTTGATAAATCGCGTACGAAACAAATAATTAAAAATTATCCTTTTTTTCTCCTCGAAAAACTATGCATATTTGACGCGTTTTGAACGAAGACGATGCTCACAGATTCACGAGAGGACAAATAGAAGAGCAATCCAACGGTAAACTTTCAGGTGTCTGCAAAACGATGCAAATTCAAAGCGACGAACCGAGAGAACAATGGTTTTTTGCGAGATTGTGTAAGTGTCATGTAGAAGAAGGGTTTAGCCCAAAGCATCCTGAACGATTCGTAGAAAGCTTCGTAGTTTCTCAGTGTGCGCGCGCAATTTCCATAATTCGAGTTTAAATCGGGGAAAAAAGTCTCTACAACTGCATTCCTCGCCGAATATTTGGATCCATCGCTTTTTCTCTCTTTTATTTCTTGGTCGTCATTTAACCTTCACTACTTTTCCTACCTATTTGTCCAAATATGTATTTCGGTTATTTCTATGTAGGGCAGTGATTCTCAACCTGTAGATCAGAGATTATGAAGGAAATTAAAAAATATTTTCCGAGTAAAAGTAGTGATTGGTTATTTTTTGTAAAATCTTTTACTGTTTATTTATTCTTATTTATATTAATTTAATTACTATATTCTATATCAAAATGATATTCTTGATTTTTTTCACTTTAAGTAGGAGATAGAATAAATTATTACAAATTGTTTGAATATTAGAAAGAATAAAAGAAAAATCGCGTTTTTTCCATAGACTAGCTATTATTTTTATAACTTTTTTTAAACGATTTTTAATATTTATTTATTTCAATATAATATATTGTTATATACATTGTTATATTCTATAAAAATATTAAAGTGATATTTTTGATTTTCTTTACATTAAAGAGAGAGAATTGTAAATTATTTGAAAAACGAAGAATTTTATAAAAATTTTATTTATTTTAATATAACTAAATGATCATGTTTTTAAAGGAGGATATAAGAATCTTCGATTTTTTTTTTATTTTATACGAGCAAAGTTATTTATCGTAAGTTATTTAAATATTATACAAAAAAAAAAGAACCTAAGAATGAAAATTATTTAAAGAGTGAAAGTTATTTAAATATTATACAAAAAAAAAGAACCTAAGAGTGAAAATTGAACAATGCGAATTGAATTGGTGATAAGTGCACAAAGATCTTATCTGATAATGAGAATCATCGTGTTTCTGTGTATTCTGGAATAATTTTAATAATTAACAATAATGCAAAAAGTTTATAAATATTGATTTATCCGAAAATGAAGCATGAACATGATATTTGAAATTTATTTTCTGAATGAATTTTTAATGCAGAAGAAAAGAAGAAAAAAAATGATGCGAATGAAGGAAAATAAAAAAAAATTCAAATGATCTTTTTAATCATTCCATTTAATCGCGTGTGATTGTATTAGTTTTTTGAATTAAATAACAATTTAAATAAATTTACTTACGTCCCAGCAATCCAGATAGGGACGAATCCTTGGTGAGGACTCCTCCATTCTCCAAACTGGCACCGAACGTATCTAAGAAGTCAGACGAATCTTCTCCTCTTCATGCTCTGAGAATGTCTGACAATTCGTGTTGGCGCATCTGTTCTCGATATATCGATGTCCATTGTTAATATACGACTTCGTTCGACCGGCAAGCCTTTGTGGCTCCCGTTTCTACCAATTTTCTGCTCGAATTTTTCTCCTCGATGCTCATTCTCCGTATCTTCGTCCCTTTGTCTCTCTTCTAAAACAATAGACAAAGAGACTCGATCAAAATTCGATTTCGATTTAATCGTTCGATCACAGATCACGTGATCGAAACGATTAAAAGAGTGAAAGTCATATACTCAAGTGACAAAATCAATCATCTAAGAAACTGACGCTACATAATTGATAAATATTAATATAAATCCCGAATTAACAATAAATTCTGAAAAGAAATTAATAGAAGTTTATAATAAAATTCTTTGCTTTTTTTCTCATCTCAATAGCGATCTCTCTCAAATCGCGAGTTTATTCTACATTTAAAATAATTTACTAATATTTTTTTTATTTTTTATTACTTTTTATTTTAATTTGTCGCGTTTCTTCGAATGGATTCATCTCCAAAAAAATCGGTACCGGAATCGGAGAGATAGAAAAGTGAACTGAAACTCCTTACGAGGAACGGCCAGGCCGCTAAACAACAACTATTAACGTTCTAATTGCTGTTATCGAGCACACAGATACATTGTCGTGCAATAACGTAGTTACTCCTTCCAACTGGTTCGCCGCTTTGTAGCTGACAGTTCGGGTCACGCCGTATTTCTACACCGCCCACTATTTCCATCATTCCCTTTTCTCCCCGTTAATTGCGGAATTCCGACCAACGATAACTTCAATCTCTCGTGGAAATATCCTTTATATACACATCGATAAATAGCACCTGAATTAACGTCCTTTCCGAACCATTTGCAATTTTCGGAAAAGTGTAGCTAGTTTTCGAGGATGAATTATAGTCGCGAAAATATTTCACTATCTCTCTCCAACTAGAATAGAATATCTTGTTAAAATTAATGCGCATTCCATGACAAACCTTCGTTTCGTTAATCGATATTTATGAAAATAGAAATTATATAATTTATGTTAATATAGATGAAATCATTGTATATCATTGATCATTTGTGTCATTGATACATTGAAATAAATTTAATGTCGGATATTGTAATCGATTAGCTAATAGGAGGAGCGTGTATTATGTAAGGATGAAATTTTCGTTGGAAATTTTATATCGCGATTAAATTAAATTAATATTGTCTGAATATAAGATGATATAATAATTTCACAGGACGTATAAATTGCAGGAAATTGATTGAAACAATCGGATATTCGAATTACTTGATTGATAGAAAATATTCAATCTCTCTTCAATTACCTAAATCTATTAATTATTTCGTAACATTAATTGCTCTATTAATTTGTGTTTACGACTATTATTCTCACTACAAAAGCACCAGTTCGAATCCTCGAGTTACCACCATTAGCATTTTAAATCTAAACAACGACGTTCTCCATCAGTCTTTAAAAAAAAAAAAAATAATCCATCCCACGGATCGATTACCTTAACCAACCTTCATTTCCGTAATCTATTTTATAATAATATCGTTCTGAATGATCGTCACATTTTCAACAAAATGCACAATTTCCGCTGGAAAACAACGGATCCCTCAAAGCAACTTGGAACATTCCACTGGGGTGGTTTCCATCGAAAAACTTGTTCGCGGCGCAGAACAACCCGGAGGGGGGATGAAAACGTGGCGTGAATCACTTATACCGGATGACAACGCAATTAGAATTAACCGAAGGTCCGAGCGAAGGCCTCGATTGGTCGGTTTCGATCTTTCGAAAGAATTATTCGAGAAGAGATTATTCGATAAATCGAATAATGGAAAACGCGGAATAAGAAGATCGCGGTTATGGTATTATACGATTCGAGGAAATCTTTTAACGTCTGCTGTTGACCTTGTCCGTGGCAGACTTTCGTCTTTAACCTCTTCATCGATGGAGAGGTGCGACTCGAGTGCACTCTTGCTGCGCGAAATTTCGTTTCTTCATCGGCATGCCGTGAGACGATCTTCGTAATCGATACACGAATCATTTTTAATTTTGCGAATTCGAGGAAAATTTTCCAATAATTTTGGAAATGCATATAATTCATTTAATTCGAAGATAGAAAATAATTCGTAAGTAAAATAGACTCAATGATTCAATTTGGAAGAATTAACGTCCATTTGATAATATTTATTATAATATTTATGATAATTTTTAGGAGGAAGGGATTATTTTCGAATAATCTCAATAAAATTTAATAATGAAGGGAATGGAAAAGCGGCGTGATAATTTTCGAAGTATTTTCTATTTCAAAAGGGATGAAAATAAAATGTAAGGATGAATTAATGAAAAATTCTTGCATCCCCAAGCGATGGTAACTCGAGCGCGTTTAATGCACGACGTCACCAAAGCCACGCTTAAATGTCACTCGGCTGGTGGCCATGGTGGCAGTTCAGTACGCTACACACGTACCTTGCCTCACGGTCTTACGTAAACTCGACAGTGCATTCTGCCTTCACGAAATCTGTGTCAGTGGAACTTATTCCAAACTTGCACGCGAAACTTCACGTAATCGCACATCATCGCGATCGAACTACTCGATATATCTAACTCGAGATCGAATTTACACGATAAACACGCATACAATATATCATTCCTGTTCCAAATAACGAAGGAAGGAAAGGAACTCGTCGAAAGAAATATCCGCACAAATTCACCGCGTGAACAATTTTTAATAAACCGTAAAATCGGTTTCTTTATACCAATCTTGGATCGAAACAAACACAAACGAGATAGATACCCTACCCCTATATAATTATGCTATCGAACTCGATGCAACTCGTCTGAAATCACGGAACTCTCCCCAATTCTAACCCGCGATCCGAGGTTACGTAACCGAGTGGCGTTCACGTTCACGAGTGTCATGAACGGGTTCGTTTCGATCCCGGACAAGAATCAACCCTCCCCTCCCTCCCCCTCGAAGAGAATCGCAGGTCGCACGCACCTGATTATGCACGGTGACGCAACCCGATTCGTGGACATCTTCCACTGGGGATCCACTTGGCCGGTGGTCGATCAGCTGTCGTCGCGTCTGGCAGCTGTGCTCGCGCTGCCATCGGAGAACTTGGCGGAGCCAAGGTCAGAGACACGCACTGTCACTGGTTCTCAAGGTCACAGCTACGAAGCGTACCAGGCGTACGTCCACGGCACACGAGACAACACACTCGGATCGGTGGATGGATTACCGTTGAGCCGTTTCTTATCCCTCCTTTATCCCTTGTCGCACCAATTATTATTCATCATTTTGCTACATCGTGTTGCGCCGGAACCGGAGACACCGAGACGAGCGGAAAAACCACGGGAAGACGCGAGATACACGAGGAATCATGCGGTGCACGGAGAGTGGAAAAGAAAAGGGAGAGGGGAGGGGGAGGGAGGAGGAGGAGGAGGAGGAGGAGGAGGAAAGAAAAGAAAAAGAAAAAGAAACGAGAGAAGATGTGAAGAGGAAAAGGAATGTATAACGCGAAGAGAGGCGAAAGGTGGATAAGAGACTAGACTAGAGACGCGGCGAGACGTGACGAGGCGAGGCGAAATGAGACGAGACAAGACGGACGGACAGACAGACAGACAGACAGACAGACAGTGGAAACGGTCCGTGCCCGGGCAGCCAGCCAGCCAGCCAGCCTGCCTGCTTATGGGAGAGCTTTTCTACTTGCAGCACCCCCAGTCGACCCTGTCGAGCCACGAACTCGACATCGATCGATATTACTGCTCCTGCGAGCTGCGTCCTACCCTTGCATTTTCTCTTGCCACCTACTCTCTCTCCACCTTCTGTGCCCACCTTCCCCTATCGTAGCTATCGTTTACACCGAAACTCTTTAACTCTTCGGAATACTCGACTACTCGACCTTGCGTCGCCACTGTCTCTCTCTCTCTGTGCGCTTTTTCTTTTCTTTTCTTTTCTTCTCTTTCTTTTCCTTTCTTCTTCCCTCCGCTCTTTCGCTTTCAATTTTTCTCCTCCCCTCCCCTTCGACATTCGTCTCTCCCTCCATACATGGATGGTTCGTTTATTGTGCGTGCACGTGTACCGTTGGTGATCTTGCTGTTGATGATGTAATTAGCGGTGTTTGCTCTTTTGATTTAGATAAGAGGGACTCGTGTCTTCTCCCTGTTTCTTCTCGACTCTTGTCGCGGCGCTCCACTCGTAATTGCCCGATGCTTAAGAGGATCGTTTTCCGTGAAGATTCTTCTTGTTTTTTTTTTTTTTTTTCAAATTTCCTTTGTTCTTTTGTTATGTCTTTCTCTTGTTTTTTTTTTCTTTCTTCCTTTCTTTCTTTAGATACCTTTCTTTATTGACAATACCTTCCAACGTGTGCAACGTGTTTTAACTTTCGATTGTTATGTTCACGTTCCCTTTTGAATGGAATTAATTATGCATGTATACGTTAATATATCGATTTAATATATCGATTTAATAATACGTGATGTTTCGTATTATTAAACCTTATTGGTAAAACGTGATTAAAAAGTGATTTTTGGATGTGAGAATAAATTGGAAATTAAATGGGATTAGATTTTTTCAACGTTCAACGTTTAACGTTTTTTTGAATAAAACGTTAACGTCGAAAATAATGTTTCGTGCGCATGCACTCAACCGCGTGTCGAGTGCACGTAACTCAGTTTTGTGTGTACTTTGCATTTGTTTCGACGGGCGGTTAAGTACATGCGTACCGGACAAACATTCAAAACCAATTTCAGAAATTAAATGTTGAATGAAAAAAATTTGTACTCTTTATTTTGCATGTAGAATTCTCTCCCTCTCTCTCTAAATTTGATTTAACATTAATTTGATTAAACATATATTTATGAACAAAGAAATGATGAAAAGATATATTCAATATAATAAACGCTTAGACGTTGAATATTAGAAAATTTGAATAATTACATTCAACTTTTTCTCGTGTCTCGACGATTTCTTTCGAAATCGTTTCGTATAATTATGAGCGATGATAAAAAACAATTAAAAGTCCTTTTCAATTCAAAACAAGTTTCCGATATCTTTCGTGAAAAGATGAAAACACAACGCATTCAAACAATTGAAAGACGTTTATTAATCGCTTTTCAGACGAAAAGAAAAGAGTTATTGTTCCGTTTCTCCGTTTCCTACGTCACCGTTCATACACACGCAAGCACATTTCCTATGCCCCGCTTCTTACGCTTCCTTTTCATATTTTATGCCGGTGTCTACCCGACCTATCTATCTGCTCATCGATCACGCGCTTCTCTCTCTTTTTTCTTTCTCTTTCTCTCTCTTCATAATCCTATCTTTCTCTTTTTTCCTCACTTTGTCGCGGTGCATGCAAAGTATCACGCGTAATGAAAGTATCACCGTCGACATGACGCAGGGAATGAAATCTTTTGTTCCGTGTGCGCATCCGAAAAAGGAAAAATTGCGGGCAACGCGATTCAAAGCAATAACATCGGCATTGATACGAATCAAACAGTGTGTTACGGTGCCTTGTCATGCCGTATCATTTGAACGTGATGCAAAAAATGAAAAGGAAAAATACTGATAAGTTTGAAAAATATTTCTGAGTGAGAGGAGTTTCAAAATTATCACGTTTCGATTACATTTGATAAACTTGAATTTTAAAATTAGATAGATTTTTATAAATATAATTATTAAAATTCAAATCAAAATGGATGTTGGATGTAAGACAATATTGTATATTATAAAAGAATTGTTACGTTCAAATTGTGGTATTAGATAATTAAAAATAATATTTGCCATTTTCAATGATTAGAGAAACTTCGTACACGTTCTCTTTAAACCGTTCCTCTTCTCTCGCTTTAATTGCAATTACGGAAGAGGCCACTCTGTACACGATACTTCCAACAATATTTTTTAAAATATTCCAGATGGAAAGAAAGATAATTAAAGTTCGATAAAATATACCGCATAATGGAACTCGAAAGGCATCGTTATTCCAGAATTATATTTTACATTTTATTAAATTGCGTATGAACCTTGATACTCGTATTTAACAACTTATATCTTATAACGAGCATCTTTACTGGGTCATGTACCACGATTAAAATTTCAATCTATGAATAGCGGATTTCAAGTTTGATTAGGCGATCGATTCGAAACTCCGTATAGAAAATTATTCGAGCACCGTCGAATTACCGAAAGTAATTTACATGGCCTAGATAACACTCGCTGTTATACGCTCGACATGAATGGAAACAGTCACGCAAGTATTAAATTGGGGGATGAACAGGGGCGGACAAGAGTCCACGTTCTTGCAGTGAGGAGGTTGCATTGTTTCGAGTCGATGTCATTCAATATTATATATCACGTGTTCTCTCTACGAAAAATCTAAAAGTATTTCGTGATAATATTTTAAATATTGTTTGATATTCGTGAAAAAGAAAATAACATAGAAAATATATGTGACATCAACATCGTTGATACATCTTTAAAAATTCAGATCTTCCAAAATCTTTTTTAAAAATTAAATGTTAAAAGAGGTTACATATAATGCATAAAAAATAATATATTTGATATATTTTTATCGACAAATAATATTCTAATAATAGATTAGAAATAATATATTCTAATAATAGACTCCCTCTGGAATTAGCTATATTTGATTTTGACAAGTTTCCAAATTGAACTTTTTTGAAACGATTAACTCCAACGCGATATTTTATTATTTTTATTTTCGTTTTAATTTGAGTCGTTTGGCTTTCTTTGATCTTAATTATAATTTTTCAGGTTTACCTTTTAAAATATAATATATATTGTTAAAATTAACACAAATATCACCATGGAGCTATTTTAAAAATTCTTTTTTCACGTCTCTAAATTGAATTTTTTTTTTGAAAGTCATTTTGTATTAAAAATTGGAAAGAAAAGCAGATTGTTTTTTTTTTTTTGAAAAAGAATTCAAATATTTAAAAAACCTAAAATTATGAAAGATCGATATTTTTTTTAGTTGCTATTATTTTTGGCTATTTCTTTTTATTTTTTACCTCATTTTGAATAAAGAGGTGTCAATATTATTAACAAAATACCTACAATGAATATAACATTTAAAATTAAAAATATTCAAATAGTATAAAATGATTTTCGAAAGAATTCAGCTTAAGTGAAAATAAAGATTTTAAAGTAATTCTATGAAGATTATTGTATATTGACTATATTTGTCAGCAATTCAAAGATTGAGATTTCAAAGTTTTTTTAATGATTTAACTTATGATTGGCAGTGTACGTATATATATTTTAATATAATTGTAGAACTATTTTTAAAATATATTTCTTCAACATAATAGATAAAGTTTGAATTATTATTAAATGACATTGATAATTTAATAATTATCTTCAGTGAAAAATAAAAAATATATCCTCTTCTAATATTTCTTCACTTTTATTTAATTGAAAATTATATAGAAACCGTCATGTTAATTTTCCAGTAATTATCTTCAACGAAAATAGAAAATATTTTCCTGTTTAATTTTCTTTACTTTTAGAAAAAATACAAAGTTTATAAAGTTACAAGAAGGTATATGTACATCAAACTATAAATTTTACATCGATGAAAGGAGGTTGTACAAGAATCTTCTTTGACCATGTCATATTATAGTTTAACGGACATGTACTTTTGCAATTTTATTACACGCGGTTGCTCATCCATGAAAACCGCTTTTGCTGCCTACGCATTTTCCTTAATATAGAAAACTTAAAAAATAGAATACATGATGATACATTGATGATAAAATACACTTTACACGTACAGAAGTCATCAAGAATATACAAGTGTCATATTTTAAAATTCAATTTGATCATTTCCACTTTCCATATTCGTCATTATATTCAATATTAATTAATCAAAATACAAAGATAATTATTTGATAAAATTTAATAGAAAAAATTATCTATCAAAAATTTAATACTTATGATTGGTTAATTTTAATAACGATATCTAATAAAAAATATTAAGACTTAAAACATGTTAAAAAGTTTTTCTTTTTTTTTTTTTTTTTTTTTTTTTAGAAGATTAAAAGCCTATAGAAATTGGACAATCGCTGGAAACAATGTGTTCCAACAGTCGATCGACTGTAGAGACACAATTGTCCGAGTTTTAGAAATCGATTTGAGTTTGCCGACAGTCGCCTATAAAGTTTTGTGTCTATGCGCCACAGTAACACACAATAACACGTTAAAAGTTTTATTCCATTTAAATATATTTTTATAATTGCAACGATCTTGAAAAGTTCTGGTAAGAATATAATTAAATTGTTCAATGGAAACCTGTATTTTGTGTTACAAACTTTTATGATTGACATTGAAATGTTTACAAAGCATCACTTATTTATTATTTTTCTTTTTTTATAGTCTTCTTCTTTAGATACTTATTTCTAAAGTTAAATTTTCAATTAAAACTTAATAATGTAAAATTTGTGAACAATTATAACAATATTGAGTACAACATTACAATAATATATTAAGTTTTTACATTCTTTTCCATTTTTATATAATGAATAATTTGAAATCTTACATGAATGAAAGTATGTTTTAAATATAACAAAATTTAAAAATATTAAGGCTAAA